GTGATGACATCGCATTACCGTATTTCAGAGTGAAAACGGGAAGACATCGTCACACTTCTTCAATAGCCTGAAGAGGCTGGTTGTAATCACCAGCGAAGCATCGTACTTAATTGTAAATATTGTGGGTTTGCTCTCTAAAACACCGATGTGAGCCGTACTCGGCTTGTGAATGTTGTGAGTTTTACTTTCCAACACAGGGGTGTGCTGAACTAGTAACGAATTGGCACATTTTGTTCACGTGACAAACCTTTCTGATTGTCTGTGTCGGGTGGAGGTGGGTTTACGACACATTCACGTGATCTAACCCAAACAACTTAATGAATATTACGTTACAGTTCAGCATATTACTCGTATTCATTAATTTGTATTATGTTCATAGAAGCTTCGATCTCCGTATTTCATAAGAGTGGGTTCGTAAAGACTGCTTTAAAAATGGGCATAATGTTATTTGTTTAATTACATGACAAACGATATTGCACGTGTTTGGTTATGAATCAAAATGGGAGCAAAACGATCATATTCATCCAAAAAAGATGGTCTAGGTTTAGCTCTGGAACAGCGATGGGCCGGATTAACTCCCTCTGTCTTTATTAAATATAACCAAGGATAGGTCGAGGTTAAGTCTAACAGGGACCATATATGTTTTGTCGACTGAAGATTAACTTGTAGCACAACTGAAGCCAAGTAATTATACATAACGTGATGACATTTAGAAAACTTGAACATGTTAATTTTTTCAAGTTTTATTGTGAATCATACCTAAAGGGTAATATTACTTCCATTAATGCATGCAGTTAAAAACTTGCCGTGGTGGACGTTTTTAAACGTGTACATGAACTAAGGTCACGCCGTGGAGCAGCTCTGAACCTCACAGACCGAGTTTTGATTCCTGGCCCTCTTTGATTCCTGGCCCTCTTAATGTTACACTTGGCTAAAATCTCCCTGTGTGCTTCAACAAAGGGAAACTGCCACTCACTGCTGCATTGGCCAAATTTGCTTTAAATTAGAAAGCAGCGGCTCACTTAATAGACTGTTATACCAGCTTGTTAAAGTCTCATCGTGTCGTGCACTGGCAGCAGGTTGCCCGACAGTTTCTGGGTTTTGTGGACCTTGTTCCAAATAACTGCAAAGGCAATGTTCCCTAACAGCCAACAATCTGACCCTTTGCTTTCATCCATGCTCACCAGCAAACTCATAAAAAAGAAAACTATTCAATGAGCTCTGAGCTACCCAGGCCCGTAAAAAAACAAACTTCTCGGGAGGCACGTCCCTCGCATTGCTCACTCAACGCGAGCCGCAGGGAGAGTGTGTGTGCGATAAACGGGGGCCGTGTCCTCTGCCACAGCAGAGTGCATGTCAGGTACAGCATTAAACATGTCAACACCCAGAAACTCTTAGAGAAGGTGTATGTCAGTAAATTAGATATGTGTGACCGTGCCAGGCTGTAAATAAGTTTAGTCTCTTTGGCTTGGTGGCGGTGTGGTGAGTGCATCACGTTAAGTTGATTTGTTTACATTTGTAAAGTAAGCATCGGTTCTATTTTGTACATGTTTAGGTCCTTTTGTTAATCCACTTTTGGAGGAGGGCCTCTCCACAACATGCGATCCGTGGAGGTTGTTCGACCATATTTCTCCATGCTGATCAGTGCGGGTTGATGAAGGCGGGCGAGCACAGTCGTGGAAGCATAGAAGTACATGACAACAAAGGATTTTGCCGCAATGTCCTCTGCTTCCTACAATGTAGCCCTGTGACGACCAGTTTTTACATTGTGTTCCTATCCAAGCATATACACAACCCTGCTTAGCTTCCAAGATCTGTTGAGATTGGGTGCATTCTCCATGATTTTATCATGGGCGAATATTGATTAATAATTACAATACTGTGGTGTATACAGCATGCACTGCACGGGCTAAATGTCTCAATAACACAGCCACCGTTGCGATGGTTTTCTTACATTGACATGCTCATCTCTCACAATACAATGGCCACCGCCACAGCTTGGGTGGTGCCCGGTTTTCTTACATTGACATGCTAATCTTAAATCTTGACTTAAAGCTTTCGTGACTGTAGGAATTTATACTCTTTAGGTCTTTTGGTAAAGTCACGAAAGACCCAAAGAGTATGCTAATCTTACATTAACAGATTGACATGCTAATCTCTCAATACAATGGCCACTTCCACAGCTTCGTCGTTGTGGAGGTATATCAGCGCTCCGGTCTTACATTTACATGCAAATTCCATCTCTAGCCCTGCCCACTTACCCTTGGGCTGCACCCATCTCAAACCTATATAACATCCTGCTTCAGCAGCACACCCGCTATATGTTTTCGCCTGATGACGATTGCTTGTGTTGCGATCGAAACGTCGTGATATTTTTATTATTTTTCTATCTACGTGGCTTTACCGAAAGACCCAAAGAATATGAATTCCTGCAGTCATGAAAGCTTTAAATCAAGTTTTGTTCATATTAAAAAAATGCAACGCATAGGCTATACGCAGCTTCAGTAACCACCGGAAATTCCAATTCGGCACACCACACACATGCTTATTTTACCCAAAATGTAGGAGGCCCTTTGCCTGATTTACCAATGACAATATTTTACATTCTGTATATTAAAATGTTGTCAGTTTTATATATATCCGTTGTGTTACGAATATTATATTTAGTGCGAAAACGTGTTTTTAAGGCCTTAACAGGCGAAACTAAAACATTAAAAACGAGACAAAAAAAAATAAAGCTGTACAAAAATATTAGCTCACACACACACACTTTCCTCCCACTTTTCCCATCACAAAAATAAATTCCCAGACCTTGCTGCCACTGCTGTACTGTGCCCTCCATTAATGTCAGTGTGAGTATTTTTTTCCTAGCATTTATTTTTTTTGGAAAAAACTGCACAATGCGCTTTGCATCAAGCAAGTTGTGAAGCCCTGCTGCAATGGATAATTTAATAACGTAGTGCTCACTACATTCTATGCTTGTCAGTGTGTTCTCTGTAGCAGCAACAACAGCAGTAGCACGCTCCGTTAGCTTTTCCTTTGGCTCGGACTTGAAAATACTGGTGTTGCCATGGCATGGACTTCTGTCTTAAGTTATCCACTTTTCCACTTTTCCATTTGGCTCCCGCAAACGTAGGATATGGCTTGCACATGAAAATGTTGCGTGTGGATTTTCAGGGGCGTGTTCCCTGGTTTTTGAAGTGCAGTGGGTTTTGGAACTTTTCAGGGGAGGGAGAGAATTGCCTTGAATAAAAACAATTCATTCATAAAGGGGAATGTTCCGCTGACGTTCCCCCACGTGTGTGGCCTCCTGAGGGCTGCTGTTGTGAACATACGGAGGTGTACATATTAACTGTGAAGCGTATGTTTTATTGCTGAAAGGAATTACTATATCCATCAAAACCTTTGCTCATGGCCAGGTATAGAAGTCACTGAGACACAGCAAACATTTAATCGCACGCAACGCCAAGTATTTCGAGTAAGAGCAGATCGTTCCTGTTCACAGCTTGCTTCTCTCTTGTTCATACTCATTCATGAAGAGTTCGTATACATATGTATTACTGGTATGTATGTTCATTATGTGACAACAGACTTAGGGGGCACATTCATGGTCAAAAGTATTTCAAATGGTTGTTACGGAATAAAAGAGTATGCTATTTTAAAGATATATAAAATGGGGCATTTTTGCCGTGTGACTTTGCCCTCCTCAAAGGAAACATTACATTTTTCTAATCTCAGAATCCATTGCTAACGTCAGTGAATGCGGATTACCATTATTCACGTGTTAAATTTCTTCACAATGTTACAATTCAAACAGAATTTAATTAATAAAATCCTTGCATGAAATGTATTGCGCTGGGACTGCATGGAAGAACCATACCGGTAATAAATCTACTAGGTATGCTTTTTTTCCCCTTTGAACATTTTTTCAGTTTAAATCTCTCAACGTGCACCGCGTGATGAGATGAAGCGTGAGAAGGCTTCTGCATTATTAACTTGTGCTCAGTGCTATTGACAGTGTGTGGTTTTAATCATTCTTCTCAGCTGCTGTAAATCAATCTTTAGTGCTTCCAGTCAACAAACATGGCCCAGTTTCATTCACGTGCAACTTGAAACATCGCACTTCCTGTAATATTTCACTTTTTTTAAAGATTAATTTTAAGGGTAGCGTATGTGTGTGGCGTAAAAATGTGATGCTTCACTGAAATATTCCTGAATAATTCACTGACTAGTTTTATGTTTTCCACTGCAGTCGTTGTTGCTGCCCATTATTTATTAAAATCGTGATCGACTGATTATTAACTTAGCGAGACTGTCTTGCAAGTTTGGAAAATTCCACTATGGTTATTTATGAATCCACCTATCAATGATGCCATTATTTAACATCTCATTTGTAAACAATTATAAAGCGCAGTATTCAATTCCCCCACTAGTCTAATGATTGCGTCTCATCATGCACGCTGGTTACATCTTGCGTTGCCTCCGAAACGTCGTGATTTTTTTTATTTTATTTTTTATTTTGATGTTTTACTTACGTGACTTAACCGAAAAAACCTAAGAATATACATCTTGCTCTCTAAGAGTTGGTTTTGTGTCTCTCCAATCATCAACATCCTTAAAACAGCAGTGGATAGGCAATATCTGCTGTTGCTGATGATGATGACATTCATCAATCTAGAAAGTAAGGTCACAATAGATAAATATGTTATTTATATTGAACATTGTGCGTAAAATGTGTGCATATAGTTCATGGGCCAGAGCAGGAATTGGAACCACATCTTAGTCACACTGATTTATTTTTTGGCAAATAAAAGTGGGTTATTTTGATAAGCCACTCATTGCAAATAGTTACCACGTATTAAACTGTTGCTGGCCACATCAATAAACTACTAAAGTGATGCCACCTTGGGTGGCACCGACAAGTGAATTATCTGGTTTGGGCTTGTGGACCAATAAGGTCCTTGCTCACTGATTGCATCGCCATGTCTTGTGGAGTGCAGGAACAGGATGACCCGAATAGACAGGCGACGAGCTGGCCCGACTACTACATCGATCGCCTTAACCAGATGGCAACGGTGAGCAACGCCCACATCCAGCAGCAGAGCTTACCGTACACGGCACGCGCCGGCTGTGCAAAGTCAGTCCTCAGTCGGTGGTATTTGCTATTACTGGCCTTGGTGGTAAGTGGCGTGCAAAGTATATCCAAACCAAGCAAAAGCGGAGGATTTCAAGTTGCTCGCTCAAGGGGCCCCGGATTCATGAAACAATATTGATGCATCAAATATCTTCTCAAATAAAAAGGCGAATAAACACAACAACTTAATTAACGTAGAGACACAATATGGTTCACCTACTTTTTTTCATCATCTTACAACATCTCTATATCTTCTTCTTGGTTCTTTCGGTAAAAAGTCACGTAGAAGGGAAATAATAAAATAATAAAAATAAAACATAATAAAATAAGAATTATTTAAGAATGATTTTATTATGTTTTATTTTTATTATTTTATTATTTCCCTTCTACGTGACTTTACCGAAAGAACCAAGAAGATGAATCCCTGCAGTCACGAAAGCTTTAAATCGAAATCTCTATATCTGGTCTCCGTATTTTATGTCACCTCACAAGTATTTTATGAAGTGAAAGGGGGCCCCCCAAGATTACATTCATATTGGACTCCCAATGGTGACGCTTGCAGAGGAAACAACCTATGAGCTTGTGTGGCTGCGCCCCCCCCCCCCACCCCCCAGATGCAGTCCATGTTTGCGTACAACCAGGAGGAGGTGGAGACACGCAACAAGACGGTGGAGGGCCTGAAGACTGCTCTGCGCACCCAGCCCATGAGGTAAGGCCCGCAGACTGGTGGAATATGGAAGGAAGGGGAGGGGTCAGGAGGAAAGGCTGAGGCGGAAAGGGTAAGAGAAAACAACAGGGCCTGAAAAGGAGCTGGAGGTATTTTAACAAACGTGTTGTGTAGTGTTTTGCTAACATTTCCGTTTTTTTGCACGGGCAGAATATGAATTGACTCACTGACATTTTGCACAAACTTAACACTTGCTATATAAAGGAGCGGTCGGATGTGTTTCCGTGTAGATGTCATGGCACCCTTTGATCATGTGCTTGAATAAATGTTGCCACTTTTATGTATAACTTGTGAAATTAAGCATCTTCTTAAAACCACCTTACAACCATAATAACCCACGTTCCATTTGCACGCCATGTCACAAATTATAAACACACCTCTGGTAGAGCAAACACATTTAAAAGCATATTTTTAAATCTCAAAATGTGGGTAAAAATAAAGTCATTGCTCTTGAAACTATATTTTAAATATGTATACATTGGGGAAACAGACCCTGCGCTGAGCAGGTGGCCCATTCACCAGTGGGTTTGCAAGGCACCCAACGTGCATGACTGCTGCCAGTGTGAGCTAAATTGGAACAAATATGTCGTAATGTCACTGCATGCCTCCCCCGCAACATCTGTTTTCTGCATCTGCCAGGTGCATGTTTCAAAGCTGTGCCGAAGGATTTTTAATTTGAGGTCCCTAGCGTAGCATCCCGCAACACAGTTGGGCCCTGACCTTCTGATCTGCAAGGGGTCTCCATGGAGACGGAGCCCCAGGTGTATTGCTTGCAGTCCTGCTGTTCTCACGAGCAGATCTGTGTTATGGGAACCAAAGGATATTCGTTGGATTATAACATACTATTCTCAATTATTCGTGAAATAATCCAACTTTTATTACATTTGCAAACATGCTCACTGATTACATTTCCATATTTATACATTTTTTAACGACAGTACATTTTTCACATTCCTTCTTAAAATTTTAATTTAGAAATCCAGCAGAAAGGATTTCTGTTGATAATATATGCATATACATATACTATAATGGTTTATTATTTGCAGTACAAATTATACATTTTGTTTTCTCTGTAATCAAGTATTGCATGAAATCTATACTGGGAACAGAGCCTCATTTATTAGAAAAAATGTGTTGCTGCATTCGCAGTGGTGCACAAATAACAAAACTTGGCACATCTATCAAAAACACTGCCCTAAAAATTAGAAAACAATTTGACATGGTGGTATTTTGGAAATGTCCCTGCTTTATAGAGCCACCATGAGCTGTTGTCCTCATTCTCAACTTAGATGCACGCACATACCCTCTTAAAAAAGCATATCTTTGGCAATTTTTCAAATATAATAGTATTACCCCTTCAAAGTTCCAGGGGAGGGGTATTTTTCTCTGTTTTCCTCGATGCCTGGAGACAGTGGTTCCTGTGCAGTAAAATGCGGAGTAAATCCTGTCCAAGGGATGCCTCAGAAGCCAGGGGAATTATGTGGCCGAGTGTCCTACAGAGAAGCACCACATCAATACGAGGCTGTGCCCTGCCTTGCCTTGGTGGACTGTGGGATACTTTTGTGCCTCAATAGGTTTGGGTTTTTTTGGGATGGAAGGAGTGAGAGACCCACTGAAGCAGAGGGGAGGCATGGCCATTCTAACCCGAGGCAGGGTTCTGTTGCTCCTTGTCCATAGGAAACCACTGCTCAGGCTGGTTTCCCCCATAGCTGAATGAGGTGAACATCAAACGCAGGTGGCTTGTGAGCCTTTATAAAGGTAAAGGTGCAGGCCTGCAATATTTTGCTCATGCCGCTGCTGGCAGAAGGGCCTCCACTTAAGGAGCCCCTTAACAGTATTTGGCCTACTCTTGCATGCTGGCCAGAAGCTTTGGAAAAGGTGGGAGTACCTACACTTTACACCACCACAAAGGACCTGCCGAACGACTATCTATGGTGTATCCATTCCATTTTTACTGCCAGATGGATAGAAGCGGAGCGGGGGGGGGGGGGGGGGTTTAAGAATTTTGCACATTCAGTGTGCTAACCAATATAGCACGGCAGCTTCCCTGTAAGTCATTAACTTACCACAAGTGAAAATGCATTGTACAAATACAGTGTGCAGGCCACAGTTTAAATAAAAAACATAACTCCTGAAACCCCAAAAAAAATCATATTTTCTCCGACTGAAACTATGAATCGTGGGACTAGCCGTTGGCCATTATTTGGCAGAACGGTGTTCACACACAACAAATTCAGAAATAGATTGGCAGAAACTGTACACGAGGAAAACTTGTTATTTAAAAGATATGCATTTGTTTTGCATCACAAAAATACAAAGTGTTTTATTGTCACACAAAAAAAACACGGTGTTTTATTGTGACCGTGAAGCAAGATGTACTTGTTCCGACAAATTGAAGCCCGAAGTGCACGCCAGGCAGCCCTTTAAAACACTTTTACATGTGGAGAGGAAATTAACGTACAGGGGTTGTGTATAGACAGATGTGTAGTGACTGTGATTGTCACTGTGTGGTGCCGGGCTTATGAAGTCACGGTGGATAATGTGTTGGCATTACGTGTAGCCCGCTTACTGGGCGTAGTACCAGCCCTAGCGGGGCTTGGGTGAGCGTTGGTCAGCGCAGAGGCACCACGTACAGTGTGCGGTGCAGGCTCCTGGTGAGGGAGCGAAAGAGAGTGTCAGCCAGCCAGGGTTACGTTGGGGCATGATATGCTGATTGACCTGCCGACACGTGACCGGATGATATTGGAGGGTGGCCACCGGTGGACGGGGGCCCCTGAGCGGTCACGTGGTCTAAAAGAGCTCTCGGGAGCCTTCGGGAAAGAGCTTGAGAGATCTAGAAGGTGGGCGGGGCGAGGGGCGGGGCGAGGGGCGCAGCCAACCTCAGCCCAAGAAGATATAATGGGGGCCCTGTGAGGGGCTCGGGGTTCTTCGTGTTGCTGGTGATGAAGATCCACGTCGGGTAAAAGAAGCCTCTCGCCACGCGGTCCGGGACCCAGCTTGTGGTCCGGGCCGGGATAGCGAACCGTGTCTAGTTCTGCCGTAGCGTGGCTAGATGAGCATTCAACACCCAAGTGTAGGTTGTGTTAACGTTATGTTGATTTATTTAATAAATAGTGTTGCTCCCAAGACAACGTCTGCGACTCAATTGGACTCACTACAGATGTATAAAAAGATTGCACGACTCTTGAATAGTTGCAATAGCATTTCCTATACAAATTGATGAATGCTGGTACTGTATATGTATATGTGTGTGAGGTACTCATTTGACCTGAGCATCTGGTTTGGTGTGTAATCATCAGTATTGGAGCAGACAAAGGTGGCTGGCTGGGTGTGGTACTGGTCACCTCACCCCCTCTTATGCTGGCCGTTTTCAGAGCATGTTAACAGCACTTTCCTCTAACAATCTACATACCTGTACAGGGCATATTTTTCTTCGTCGTGTGTGGGTATATTTCTGTTGTGTGTGTGTGCTTGTGTGTGTTCACTCTCATTTCGCTCATGAAGTGTTTTCCGTTTATATTCATTCATCTTTAATTTATGGGAACCGATACATTTGTTTTGTCGTAAACTAATAACTATATTTCATTTTGCTGTTATGTGCGTTGATTTGAATATAGAGTGGGTTTATTTCGTAGTCCATGAATAAAGCAACAAATGTGACAATTTCTCAAACGAGTGCTGTGGGCAGATGATAGAGGACAAAACCAGCAGCCTTGGGATTACGAGTGCATTGGGATTCCATGTCACTGCTACTCAGCCGTTGGGTGTGTTCGGGGGTGGCTGTAATTGCCATAGAAAACCAAGATATTGGCAGAATCAGTGCTGGAGTCGTAATACGGTACAGCTGTTTCTTGAGCTCAGTTATTGAGTCAACCTTAATGGTAGCGTGTCACATGTTACATGTCAGTCCACTGCTGGATGAAGGTCTCGTGTTGTGACCAGGACAGTGATATTTAAAAATGTACCTATTTTGAATGAGAAAACGCGTGCATTTGTGTCATTTCTTCACGTAAAGTCCTGGTCACAAAAGCAAAATTTCTGGGGAATAATAGCCATTTTCTTTACCTTTGAGGCATAAGCAATTACAAAATAACACTTACTACCCAGGAACAAAAATTGTGTTACATAGTAATTATAGTAGGTAATTATACAATTTAAATGTATGTAGCCACTAACTGCTGCTGCATTTCTCTATGTGGAATGCACTGGTAACGGGGAGAATTGCATAAATCTGTACATTTATTTAAGACTAAAGCAGGAGGACTTCTCCACAACTCTGGTTGTCCACCTGATGATGCTAGTAGTAATTACTGGTGAAACGTCGTAGTCGGCTTGTAAATGTTGTGAGTTTTACTTTCCAACACAGGGGTGTGCTGAACTAGTAACGAATTGGCATGTTTTGTTTACGTGACAACCTTTACCAATTGGCTGTGTCGGGTGGTGACGGGTTGAACGATACATTTATATTTACACGATCTAACCCAAAAAACTCGATTATGGATGATATTGGTCGCGAAAGCCTACTACGTGTCAAACTGTACATTTCTATATGAGGGGCTAGTCAAACAGTGGAGAAGAGGAAAGTATTGAGCCTAGACTTCAATGGGGGAAGAGAGTTCGCAGGACAGATGGCTGGGTGGATGGAAAGGGATATAGTACTTATTTGAATGACAGAGAGGGTAAATGTATAATAATTAATTATTTGATAATCGCTTTTCCCTTTTTTTCTGGCAACAAAACAGGTGTTAAGATGTTTAAACGCCAAACTGAAAGCTTTTACAAGGAATCATGTCTGTATTAACCACAATACTTGCGGTCAGAATGCAAACAAAAAAGATACTTTAATAATATATGCATTGTCCTTGAAACTGATTGCTCAACACCAGAGACAGCTTTCTTTCGAGCCTAGTCTCAACCAGTGTTAGACCAGAGGATGCCAAAAGGTGTACAGCACAAAGACAAGCATTGTCAGAGTAACGAGAGCTCGGGGTTTAGCAGCTACATCATGGGACCTCCTTTGCCAGTACCAAAATATGAGAATAGGTTTTCCCTTTATTATGGTTAATGCAGACATGATTCCTTGTAAAATGTTTCAGTTTGGTGTTTTAACATGTTAACATCTGTTTTGTTGCCAGAAAAAGGGGAAAACCTATTCTCATATTTTGGTATTGGCAAAGGAGATCCCATGATGTAATTCATTATTTACCCAGCAAGACATACTGAGTCCAAGACCTTTTTAAGAGGATCCTGCATTGTACGTTTTATATTTAGATGTCATCAGCCAATTATGCATGCGGGAGGAAACCGAAGCACCCACAGAAAACCCACGCATGCAAAGAGGCAACAATCTATTACAAATAGACAGGACAGATGACATTAGTCCACACCTACTGGTACCGCCTTCTCCTCGAAAGCGAGGTTATGGCACCTCCTCAAAGCCCAATAGGAGGGGAGTTACGGTACAATGTGTGTGTTCCCCCAACCCTGTCACCTCCACAGTGCTGTATTATAGGTGTGCGTGGCCACCATTGGCAGTTTGCGATGGCTAGAGACAGATATGTGGTTGGGGGAGATTTGTTGACGAAAAATGTGACCTTGTGAAGATTACAGGCTAATGGCACTAACCTCCCTTCCCTCATGACGTGTCATTGCCTCTGCCTGTGCAAAGTCCACTCTTAACATGTTTGGCCTGCCCTGGACTCTGAAACTGAATGAGCAACAAATGAGTTTTTTTTTTATGATAGTATCTCAAACCGCAGCAACGTTGCTGATCTGACAGTAAATGAGGCAAACGTGAGCGCTACCAGAAGTATGATGCACGCAAGTATGTGTTCCAGAAACAATGGATGAATCATCGAGGTCATGGCTGGTTCTGTCCATTTTGATTAAGCAGATTCCTCCTCGCAGACATTTTTCTCATCTGCAGTTTAGAAGAAAAATGTGTTGGCTCCACTAATGTAGGTCCTCACATGACAGCTTGGCTAAACACAACTTTATTGATATTGGAAAGTCCCCATACACGTTGTTTATGTTTCTTCTATATAATTGCTGATCTGATGAAAGATAAAAACGAATTGGGATATGAAGACTTTTAAAATCAGTGTGTGTGTGTGTTTGCTTTATAACAGATTTTTTTGTTTGTATTAATTTGACAAAGTTTACAACAAAAATGTCAATAGGAAAATAAAAACCAAAATTTAGATTAAAAAAACCTCGAACGTACAACATAATAGGCATGTTTTATATTATAAAACCATTATAGGAATGTGTTTCGTGCCCGGTTTAAGGTCTGCTGTCTACTTGACAATAAATAATGCAGTGGTTTTTTAACAGCAACATAACGTAATAACATTTGATTTCGTTACATTTTACCACACTGATGAACTCCCAAGTGTACTGACAGTCCCTTGTGAACCCACTGCTGGATGGGAGCCTTTCCACACTCGGTTAGTAATGGGGGCTTGTTTGACCATACTTCACCACGCTGGCCAATGTTGCGTTGGTAACGGGTAGTGCACGTATTATATGCCACTGATGTTATCTGTGGCAAGGACTCGAGGAATGCACATTTTGAAACATGCATTTAGATTATTTGGCTGATGTACATTTTCACGCGATAAGCCACTTCGATGAGCTATTGTTTGTGGCCAAGTGGCTTCTGTAAGAGGAGCAATAGCTCAGTGTGCCCTCCTGAACCTCCGATTAGCATGGTTGGTGATGTATGGTGCGAAAGAAGTTCAAAATGCATATATATTTGGTAAAAATAAATATAGTTTAGTTGTAGCTTTTTTTATTTATAGACATTTTATTACCTTTCCTCTACTTGTTTTGTATTGTTGTGTAACCTTCTGACCCGCCCCTACGAGACATCTGTGAAAAAGAGCTTCATAGCTCATCAGATTTCTCCAGGATAAATAAAGATTCTGATTGAGAAATTCAGGTTGCTGGGTTCATAATACAGTTTAATGTAATTATAGAAACCCTACCAAAATAACTCTAAGAAAGTATGACTGCATCGTATTAGCTATCTCCTCTCTAAGATGTGGAGCCATTACTTTGTAAAATTCAATCAGCTGATGAGAAGAAATTAAGAGGTTTATTATAAATCAGTGGGATATTTATACATGAGAGTACCACGTTTATATTGTTGGCTTACACAGTATTTATTGATTCTAGATTTGAAGCTTTCGTGACTGCAAGGATTCATACTCTTTGTTTTTTTTGGTAAAGTCACATAGGTAAAAAATAAAATGAAAACAACTCAATTAAATCTCCATTTTCCAGATATACAAACATAGACATAACTTCAACCGAGATGAGGGATTCAAATTGAGCAATCATTGGAAGGATGTAATTAACCAAATTAAGCTTTAGCTGCCGTGCAGTTTACTGCTAGACAGCCAGTTTAGATTTATTTTCATAATCATATCCTTATTCCCAGTCTGTTACCCCCAGCTTGACACACGACCATCACCATTACCACATGTTAGTGTTCATCTTGCACATTTCTAATTTGCCCCCCCGGCAGCATAACACAAGGCTGCTTAATCTTAGCTTTCTTATCTACTTCCGCCCCCTGCATCACAAAGCTTCAGTTTGAGCTCCATGCGTTGCCTCCCAATGCCCTCCCCGTTCCTTACATCGTTGCCTCCCAGTCCACAGCCCGCCCACACACTCACCATGCCCCCCCTCTCTCCATCCCCCGTGACTATATAATTCCTCGTCACAGCCATCTCTTAGACACACTTAACCGGTTGTGCTTTCGCTACGTTGTCCCCACCTGAAGAAGGGCGCTTGTGTTGCGCCCGAAACGTCGTGATTTTATTTAGTTGTTTTCATTTATTTTATTTTTTACCTACGTGACTTTACCGAAAAAAACAAAGAGTAGTATTTATTGAGTCTCGCTATGAAATGAAAGAACAGTTTTGAATTTGCAGGGAGAGAACCGTTTCTCTGCAACGAAAAACAAGAGACAGTTGTCATTTTCATACTCTTCTCACAATCCTGTACTCGTACCACAAAAATGAATCTGTTTTTTTACGTAATAAAAGGCCAAGATAATATTCTTGTGGAGCTGTTTTACATTCTCTAGGATTTAAGGAAAATTATGGTGAAAGAATGACATTAAAAGGAGCACAAATTGAAAGGTTAGACCAATTTTAAATGAACCGTGTCAGTCTTCTATATTCATTACTCCTATTTCTTTGGTGTCGCTATCTGTTATGTCTTCCGAACTTCTTCCGCTGTTTCAATGCAATGATTATTGTTGCTCGGAAAATCCTGTTTTAGCCAGTTACCAAACTAGTTTTTGGTGACAACTGCCCACAGCCACTAACAACAGAATCACTATTGGGGTGGAGAGGAACCCAGCCAGCAGCCAGCCAGGAAACTCGAGGCATGGATTTGTTTTTAAAAAGTAGTATGATTGTTGGTTGTAAGACGTTTGACCCCAGTATTGAGCCCACTTCCTTGGCGAGGTTTTTAAACATGTTGCCTCCGTCTGCTTTGCTAATCCGCACGGGCCGCTGCCGGCCACAGGTTCGTGACGCGCTTCATCGAGCTGGATGGCCTCTCCTGCCTCCTGAACTTTCTCAAGAAAATGGACTATGAGACGGCCGAGAGCCAGATCCACACATCGGTCATCGGCTGCATCAAGGCCCTGATGAACAACTCACAGGTGGGTCTGCTCAGGCGGCCAACCTCGCACACCCCACCCCGCCACCGCGTCGCCCACGTAACAGCCGACTGTGAGCTTCCTGCTTTGTTTCTCTCTTATGGCATTCTTCGCGAGGTTTGTTTGCAGTTTTAAAAGGTTACCATACTCCTTATTCTACTTTCATATGGCATATGAAGAGCAACTATACGAGATTTGACTTGTAAGTGATTGAGCCATTCAATTGCTTTGTCTGAAAAATATGGTGAATAGCAAACACAAAAGACTTTTCGAGTTTACATATCAGGCATTGGAGCTCGTGCGGTGACCATGAAGTGTGTTGATCAATCTATTTTAAATGCAGTGCCTCATATCCGGCTGTCACATGTGCACCCTGACCAATTAAACGCTCATGCCCAGTGCAGCTATTCATCCATGTTGCAACTGTTAGTTTGTATAGATGTTCCAAATCTTCCCTTTTCATGCGCAATTATTTATTCTTAATGTCACGTACGTGTGCTTACTTATATGCATTTCCCCATGTTTAAAGCAGTTTAGGCCTTTTTTTGTCCAGTAACCTGTGCCCGGTGGTGTAACTGTGATTTTCTCTTGTCATCATCATCAGACATGTTTTATCCACTAGTGGATGTAGGCTTCCCCACACCATCGTCATCCCTCAATGGTCCTGCGATGCTACAGTCCATCTCACTCTTGTACAAGAGCCGATCTCATTGCTCCATCTCCACAATGATTGTTCTCTCAGGCGCATTCTCCCCTTTGGCGACCATTTGATCACCAGCCTCATCTATCGGCAAGCGTTTCTTTCAGCCATGATGAGGCCTGCCCAAGCCCATCCATGATCCATAACAATGAAAATTACGTCTTTGATTGGTGCTTTTTCCCTAATACAAGTGTTACTATTCGGTCTCTTAGTGTATATCTCCGTGCTTATGTGTGCACATTTGAAATTTAAATTCCCAAAAGAAGGTAAGGGCCCAACTGTTGTAGAGATGGAGTGATGTGATCAGCTGTTGTGCAGGTGCTGGAGATATAAGGGATGGTGACGATTTGGAGAGGCCTTTTTACAACAGTGAATAAACCATGGCTGCTGATAATGGTGATGAACTTGACAAATATGGCTTCTCTCAAGCTTTATAACCTCCTTGAGTATCATATAAATACATAAGAAAATAAAACGTGGCTTTGAATGAAGGTGGGGTATAAGCAGGTTGACACTACGCGAGGAGTTTGACGTTAAAACGTTAGCGTTATGCGACTCAGCTGGGCTATGAGAGCTGTTTGAGCAAAGGGGTACCCAAACACGTATCTTACAAAGGTCACGTAAACACAGAGAAGACACTAGACCTCACCCGTTCCACACAGTCCACTTCCCCCTAACATAAACACGGATGATTTACCAGACATGCTGTAAAGTTAAATGTCGCTTGAACACAATCACGAACTTGCTTAATCAGTGGTCTACGGAAGACCGCACTTTGATTTGTGTGTGTGTGAATAGTTCCAGATTGTAATAGGTGAATCTCAAAATGCAGTAAAGTATTCTGGTAATTGAAAGCAGTGCCTTGGTTTCCTCTGGGGAAAAAAATACTGGCCTTGTGCACACTATGAGGGCACAGCACACGTACATAAGTTCAAAAGTTCAGCGATGGAAGACAGCATAATGTATGTATGCTGAACTTCTTCTTGGTTCTTTCAGTAAAGTCACGTAGAAGGGAAATAATAAAATAATTAATTAAAATACAACATCATAAAATTAAAATTATCACGACGTTTCGGCCACAACACAAGCAGCCATCCTCAGGTGAAGAAACAGAGCTGTCGGAAAGACAGCGTCCCTTCTACGTGACTTTACCGAAAGAACCAAGAAGATGAATCCCTGCAGTCACGAAAGCTTTAAATCGAACCGTGCTAATCAGAGAGGCGGGTACTAAGCCAAGTTTGTACTGATCAGACCATCACTGGTCGTCTCGATACAGGTACAACAATTCACCCGACTCGTGATTCAGCGAGTTGTCACACTGATGGCAGTGAAGCAAAAGCCATCGTTGTCCTGTACTTCTATACTGCCGTATCTGTGTTCCCCGCATTTATCAAACAAGACTGGCCAGCGTATGGCCAAATAACCCTCACAACCCACACGGTGTGTTGGAGGCCCTCACACCTCCAAATAGCACGGTTGACTATGTACGGTGCGAAAGAAGCTCAACATGCATACATCCAGCAGTGTATTAACAGTGGTCTCATATGTTGGTGTTTCAATACTTTTGAGCCCAGTTAAGCTATGGGTGGTTGCTTGAGTATTTCTTTTTAAAATAGTCGCACACATACACATGGAGTTCCAACGCTTTCGTAATTGTGAACTTTTTGTTCAGGAAGCAGAAGTGTGGGGATTTTTATAAACTGCCCAGGAAAATCCGCCGAACTGTACACATCTTGCCTGTAAACAACGCATCATTGATACAATGCACGTGATGCATTGATACATCTCTTCTGGGTGTGATTTCACTCCTGTGCATTGTGAACATTTAAGCGTGCGAACAACACTCTCACGTGGTCTCTGACTTCACATTAAAAAAAGGTTCGGATAGAGGGGGAAGTCACAGAATCGTACAAATAATAACAATTCGCCGAAGCACAGGAAGCGCAACTCTTAGGTTTTTCCCCAAACTTTACTTGTGATGATGCCACGGCCAGCCTCTTAGGCTAGAAATCCTGTGGTTACTCCACACACTCCCAACTCTGACACCGGGATCAGCAGCTGTTTTAAAAAAAAACACTCTTCCTCAAGATCATTCGTCTCCAACCGCCTCTGCCCATCAAGTGCGAACGTAGGTTGACCGGTCGTGTGAGTTTTCACGGTTGTGCTGTGTTGTCGCTCTGAGATGTGCTGTGTTCAGGCTGTTGTCGCGTGTTGTTCGGCGTGATGGTGGCTTCTATTGCTTCGTCAGTTCCCGAAGGGGCTCCCAGCAACGTCGACCGAAATTCCATCATTCAGAACAACACGCTGTACGACCCCCGTCTTGTTCTGAATGCGGGAGTGGACTGTGTTCTGTAATCGCAGCAATTTGTTGTAATGATTAGGAAATCTGTGGTTACTCCTGCCTCTTTCGACATTTATGGCGAGATACATGGTGTCGGGTCCACCTTGACTTCTCATACGCGCGTGAATTCTTTCACCGTCATGTGAGTTCCTCTCGTAAAGAAATGTGAGTTGGCTTGGGCAGGACACGTGTCGCTAGACGGGATGATGGCTGGCGATTGAGACCAACCACTGAGACAGAGGCAGCCAAAGAGGAGAAGCGACCGGATATCACGTTAGCCCCACGGAGATGGAGCAATGAGACCGGCTTGTGTGCAGGTGCTGGGTGGTAGCGACTTGAGGCTTTGATGCAGCAGTGGATTGATCATGACTGCTGATGATGATGATTCATAACTGGTACTTAATAATACATAATGTGCTGTAGCCAGTAGATGGCAGTTCAGAAATGGATTCTGTGAATCGGTCTGTATGGAGTTTAGAATGTACGTGTCGGTTTGTTTGAGTACCCATACAGAAATAACTAAACATACGCTCCTGAAAAAGTCTGCAGACTCAAATAAAGTGCACCATTACTGTGAGCTCTAAAACAAGCAGAAATGCAATTCATACAAATTAAATAAAAGTGTATAATGTATTGCTATATTGTAATAGTGTACAGTAGAAGCCCTCTTAATGACAGTACTGTAATTCGTTCCACGAAACCGTTCGTCAAGTGAGTATAGGAAATACATATTAAAGGCTTAATTCGTTCTGATAGCATGGAAAAGTTACCCGTTTTCACCCAAAGAACATCTTTATAATATTAAAACTATTGATATTAATTTATAAAGATACTAACAACATTATAAATACATAATATTAAAAGAAGCATGGTTAATTCATGCATTAATTAATATTTACTGTACCTATAACAGCCCATCATTAACATGGGAATGGTCGGTAAGCGAACACATTGAGCTCTTTGGAGGTCCGTCGTTAAGTGATTAGTCGTTAACAGGGGTGGTCGTTAAGAGGGGTTCTACTCTACACTATACTCTACACTATACACTACACATTGAGCTCTATGGAGGCACTACACTACTATACACTACACTATACACTACACATTTAGCTCTATGGAGGTCCGCCGTTAAGCGATTAGTCGTTAACAGGGGTGGTCGTTAAGAGGGGTTCTACTATACACTATACACTACACTATACACTACACTATACACTCCACATTGAGCTCTATGGAGGTCTGTCGTTAAGCGATTAGTCGTTAACAGGGGCGGTCGTAAAGAGGGGTTCTACTGTACTGTATTATGAATGTGTGTAGTAAGCAACCAGTCCATACAATGAGTGGGATGAAAGATATTTGCTTGTCATTTGTTCTTCATGGCTTCTGAAGAGAACACCCAGTTGGCATTGAGGCACACGCACAGCATTTCCTCAACCACTGCAAGTTGGGAATCTGACAAACACCATAACCTGCAGCGGGAGGAATAACAACATCTCCTAATACTTTCAACAGATGGCGTTGCTTAGCGATGGCTTTAAAAGCGGGTGTTTTTTGGCAGAACGGATCTTGTTATGTCTGAACATTATGACAGTTAAAGGTAACTGTATACGGCTGCCAGCCACAGGTTCATTGTTAATTTACAAATGTACATACTCGTGGCGAAAATAATCATCAGGAATTACCCTGGGGAGCTGCGGTGCAGTGAGTTAGCGCACTACACTATGAACTTAGCCACCTGAGTTTGATTCCCGGCCATGGCTGACACTAGCAGCGATTGATATCTGATCCGGTCCTGGGCATCCCCCCCCCTTCCTGCTCGGACCAGCATGGTGAAGTATGGTCAAACGACCCCCATAACCGATGAGACATGAGAGGCCTTCATCTAGAAGTGGAAAAGGTGAACAGCTTTGAATTGTTATCTATTTAATAATGTACCCAAAATCTATTGAGCTACACAGGACACATTTCACTGTCCGTTTTTTCCTGCAATATTGTTTACGTTGTGAGAACGTGCACGTGCATGACTTTGACATTTACGCACGCCTGTGCTGAATAGTGAACTGTTCTGTGGAGGTAGACAGAGGACCCTAATATAAATACTCTCGTGGCCTCCTGAGAGTCATTCCATCAAACAAGTAAATCACCACTGACAGACAATTCCTATGTAAACACTTAGAAATGATTCACCGCACCTTAAATGTCCTTATTCCCTACGAGAAATGCTTTTGCTTAAAAAATAATATGGAGCGGAGCCCATTTCCACCAGCCCCAGCCCTGAGCCTGTGATGAAAATTCCACATTCCTCTCCCAGGGGCCAGTCTATCCGCAGGACGCGGACACTGACACACGCGCTGGGTCGGGGTGTGGGCTGTCTTCACAGGGCAGGGCGCACGTGCTCGCGCACCCCGAGAGCATCAACGTGATCTCGCAGAGCCTGAGCTCGGAGAACGTGCGCACCAAGGTGGCGGTGCTGGAGATCTTGGGCGCCGTGTGCCTTGTGCCAGGCGGCCACCGCAAGGTGCTGCAGGCCATGCTGCACTACCAGCAGCACGCCGCCGAGAGGACGCGGTTCCAGGTGCTGCACTCGCTCCCCCGTGCCAGCACTCAACGCACTCCTCCTCTCTCCAATCCTTGGCTCGTCAAACCTTGCCCTCACCCTACGCTCTCCTCACCGGAGCCTCCCCTCGCCAACTCTCACCCCGCCAACGTTCACCTCGCCAAATCTCACCTCGCCAAGCTGCTTCTCAACAGCACTCCTTTCGACAACCCTCTCCTCGCCCCCCCCCCCCTCTCATCACCAGCCCTCCCCTCACCGTAGCCTCCCCTCGTTAACTCTCCCCTCAAATACCCTCACCTCGCCAAACCTCCCCTCACATCATGAGCCCAGGCCTCCACCTTGCTCCCCTCGCCAAAACTCGTCTCGCACCAGCCCTCGCCTTTGCTGCTACGTTCTCGCACAAACTTCACGTTTGTTCAATATTACTTTCGGAATCTAAGTGTTGTACATGCTTGACCCTCTGATAAATTCACCCAGAATTTGGGGTTGAGCCAGGATGGGCGACCATCATGAGTTTAACAGGTGCCATAGGCTGTTGCGGGGCTACAATTGCAGCCATCAGACAGTGCAGCAACATCTGTTGTTGTGATGTATTTTGCTCTTACGTCTATGAGCCCCACCTTCACCAACCCACACTGACCAGCTTGGTGAATTATGGTTTAAAAAAAACCCTATTGCTGATGATGGCATGTGGAAGCCTTCATTCAGCAGTGGGTTGGTTCACAATTAACTGGATGTAATATTCGTTTTATCCCAAACTTCTCTTGCAAAATAAACCTTTGTCTAAAAGGGGATTCAGGCCTGTCTTAAAATAACATTGATTGATTGTGGTTGACATGGGCCCTGGTACAAGGAATGAAATGCACCACCCACCTTCTCCAATTTCCCCACTGTTCGTAGGCCAGTAACTGGGCCTTTCCTAACCCATGGGCCCCGTTTAGTTTCACCACCTCCATACTCAGTAGGTATGCCACTGTTGATGCTGATATGCTAGAAATAGTGGTGAAAACGTCCCTGTTGATAGCCGTGTGTGGCCTGCACCCCAAAGGATTAACACAACCAAAAGTCGAGCGATGTGTGCCAGTGCATGGGGCAATCTTTTTTTTTTATTACAGACACTGATCACCGAACTGGACAGAAACACAGGGAAGTACCGTGACGAGGTCAGCCTGAAAACAGCCATCATGTCCTTCATCAACGCCATCCTCAACGCTGGAACGGGACAGGTGTGTGTCGATCGCCACGCACAAGAGCGATAGCACTGCTTAGCCTGCCTGTGCCCACGGTCGCGAAATGAAATACTCGTTGCCATTGAATAGTCACGTTCATACACAAATAATTTACATGCATCCAATTGGTGTTGCGTTATTGTTAACATTTGTCAATGCCATCTTTTGGTGCTCATTATGTTCTCATGGGCAAAACACTTGTAGTAGCAGGATTTATATGATTCTTAGTTTGCATACATTAAGTTTTAAATGTGAAGCTTCATCATTTGTAAAAAAAAAATCTGAACTAGATTTGTATTTGTAAGATTAAGTTTGCATTTCTAATTAACATTCGTCATTTTTTTTTTATATAGTGTGAATATTAAAATGTTTATTCCTGTGCCAACCATTTGAGACATTCCTCATTTAATATATGTCTTTCTACCCAGAAATTACTTCTGTCAGTGGTTGTTGTGATTGAGCATAGCGAAGCCAACTGAAATGTAAAGCACGTACCGATATTTGCTATTTGTATTATGACCGATGAAGCCATGAATGTAAATAAGATCAACATCTGTACCGTCGCAGTACGCCCATGAAATAGATCCTCACAGCTAATTGTGCCCTTCCTGCTGACATGAAATCTATTTATCTATTTTTCAGAACTCGTATTTCCTCGGTTACTTTTGTAAGTAGCTACGTTCATGTGTGTACTGTGGTGACTTTGTTTTCTGTTTTTTTTTTATATTGTAGGAAAACATGGAGTTCCGAGTTCATCTCAGATACGAGTTTTTAATGTTGGGGATCCAGTCGTTGGTTGACAAGCTGAGGTCACATGAAAATGCCACTTTGGACCGGTAAGCTCATTTTTAGGCTGTGCCTGGCATTACCTTTGTATAACCAATGTATACCCTGCATATATACAGGGTAATGTATGTATAGATGCTCCCTTCACATAGTAGGGAAACATTAAATATAAAACAACATTTTATTTCAAATCCTTTACATGTCTCACACCAACCTCAATGTGCTTATTCAACATTTTCATATTTCTCCCCCTCTGTAAGATATGGAGCTATCACTTTACACTATTTAGTTTTCTGTTGAGATACGAGTAATCGGGCCATTAGAAATCAGTAAGGTATCCGTAAATTAATCACTATTAGGGCATGAAATGTGTCAGATAGGTCCCAGCTGTGCACCGTCTCCATACAGCTGTGACTTTGATAACAGAGTGTGGGCAACTGCCCTACTAATGTTGACATTTGACCATCATGAGTTCCCCCGTGGTATTTTAGCCAATTAAATGTCCCCGAAATCTCTGAGGTCTACCAACCATGCCCTTCTCAGCGTGACCACGCTCCAGGCTCAGAACTTTGAGGTCATTGCCGGGCTTTGTATGGTGCCCAGGCCCTGCAATTCGCTGGCCCTTGAAGATCAGAAATCGCAGTCGATTGAGACATTTAGGTCCTAGCTAAAGACCCCACCACCTGTTTAAAAAGGCCTCGTCTCTCTCTTTCTCTGTAGTTCCCTATCTTGTCTGTTTAGTCTTTCTCTCCCCGGTTACCTCTCACAAATGTTTCCTCTTGTATATGTATAGCGCTCTGAGATCAATTGTTTACTGGCACCTTATACATCTCTATTATTATTAAAGTGTTAGACGACACGCTATACATTTAGGTAAACTTTGTGATACAAAAATCAAGTAATGTTAGGTTATGTGAGTGCAATGGATCAAACAAATTGTCTAGTCGTCGCTTGAAGATGTTCTGTGTTCATATTTTGTTTGTTGCGGTTGCACACGACTTAAGAGCCGCATGGCTCACAGGGCTATACCTCATAAATGAAACTTGAAAACTTGATTGCTCGTGTGCTTTTTGTGGCACTGACACGAACACCTCCTGAGACCGCTCTGCTCAGCATGGAGACCCATGTTGCCAATCACTTTGTGCTTCTCTCGCGCGAATCACTGCAGACATTTGGACTTCTTCGAGATGATCCGGAACGAGGATGAAGCCGAGCTGGCCAAGCGATTTGACATGGTGAGTGACTCTCCTGTCCGTTGTTCGCCAAGTTTAGAAGCCCCGCCACTGGATAATATGAGTTTGCAAAGTAAAAAGTGATTCATCTTCTTGGTTTTTTTTTTTCTCGGTAAAGTCACGTAGAAGGGAAGTAATCAAATAATAAAAATAAAACATAATAAAATATTTTATTACTTCCCTTCTACGTGACTTTACCGAAAAAAAACCAAGAAGATGAATCCCTGCAGTCACGAAAGCTTTAAATTAAAAAGTGATTTCTTGCTCAAAATGACCACTGAGGTGGTGCTTGCCTCCCATGTATGGCCCTGAGGTGGTGGTACTAAATAAAAGCGAGTTCCCATTACGGTGTGCGTCCATGTGCCTGGATCGTTCACAGATGCACATCGACACGAAGAGTGCCGGGCAAATGTTCGACGTCATCAAGCGGAAGCTGAAGTTCACGGAGGCGTACCCACACCTCATGTCCATCCTCTACCACTGCCTGCACATGCCATGTGGGTACCGCCATGGCAAAGGCTTGTCTTCATGTGGCTTGGCATGGCGAGATGTGCAGCCTTGAGCTCAGACAGACTGCAACGCCGCGCCGACCGCCGAGACCAGCAGCAGAATCGAGCGGTGTTATTTAAATTCCCCAACGTGGTCAGAGCAAAGCGTGCTGTTTATATTTGAATGACAAAGCGAGGCTAAATGTTGTTGAAAAATGGATATCGTCAAAGGCTGCCACAAACAATGTTGGCATATGCTCTACATTTTTAATAAGCCCACAGAAACCCTGGCAGAAAATAATTAAAATAAATTATGTGCAATTGAGTTTCGCCAAGAAGGAGAAATTACGACTTTCCATATGTCTCTTGGTACTGCCAGGGATACAAAAGTTGCAGAGGTCACAGTGAAGCATGCTGACACTTGGCAGATGGGCGGTTTACATTGTATATAGGCCATCACGTGTCCGTGTGTGAGGGCCCGTGCGAGTGTGTTTATTTAGCATTAGTGTGTGCGTGTGTGTGTCCTGTATTCAGGGAGCTGCAGCAGAGTGGTTAGCACATTGCGCTATAAACATGGTGACCTGGGTTTGATTGCTGGTTAATGGTAACATGAATCTGAACCTGTCCTAAGCTGCCATTAGGTCGACTTAGCCTTAAATCAGTGCTCCCTCTAATGTGTAAACATCACCACTAGGGTGACAGATTTGTGTGGCCAGCAATAGTGCGAGCCACACCACGCACTCATGAGCCGTGTTCGCCTTAATAGGTGGTCACGAACACCGCCTGCCTTGAGAGTCTAGATGCTTAAGTGGAAGATATTTTGTTGTGTTGGAGTGGTGGCATAGTGGTTAGCGCACTGCACTATGAACCACAGCCGATAGTGACATGTGATATCAAAACCAGTCACGGACTTTCCATCAGCCTTGAATAAGTACCTAGTATGGAGTGTAAATATCAGTACTGAAGAGGTTAGTTGGCCTTGAAAGGTGCTCGCTAACTGGACTTGCACCCCCTACAGTTCGTGTCATCTTTACAGGGGGATATTTGTCTTTCTGTATGTGTGCTACGCAAACGCGCCTACCTATGCAGGATTACGTGTGCATTCTCACTTCCCGGATTGTTCTTGTGACTTGCTGGATCTTCTCCTCATGCAGTTTCAAATGAACAGTCGTATCTAATTGCTAAATCTTGTTATGAGAATTTGTCTTCAACTTACCATCGAGCTGATACAAAAACAATTGCCTCATTAAACGCTAGCTCACGTGACAACTAAAAAAAATTGACTGCTTCGAGAGGTGGATGGTTTTAATCGCACAAATTTGCTCAGATCATTACGTGATGGAACCATAAAAAATCTATTGCGAATCACGTGCACGTGCTAATTGAAGGGTGCCGCTTCTTCTGCCATTCGCAGACAAGAAGAGCAGTGTGATGGTGCAGCACTGGCAGCTGCTCGACCGCATCCTGCAGCAGATCGTCCTGCAGAGTGAGCGTGGAGACGACCTCGACGTCGCCCCCCTGGAGAATTTCAACGTCAAGAACATCGTCCGCATGTAACGCTCGCTCGCCAGCTGGCTCACTCGTTGTGCTTCTCATCGTCCCACAGCTTCTTTCCTGGGCTAACGATGGGATGCGTAATTGCGGTTACTAGCTAGCAGCCTCTGACTTGCCGTCACTGCAGGGTTCTTACCGTGTTGGAGTGCCCATCTGGAGGCCACACCATGTCACGAATACTGCACGGCCTCTAAACCCTTCGTCCACTCGCCGTACGTGAAGAAAAGGAGAGATTGTGCCATCTCTAACTCTTTCTAACTGTCATTCCAAGTGTTTCACTGCTTGAACAGGTGTAGGACAATGCTCATCTCAATTAGAAGCCCTGAACCAGCAGTCAAAAGTTCCACATTGCTATGGCAGTCCAGTCGTATCAACAGGACATTCCAAAGGACCTGTAAATAATTCTTCCCTGGGGGGAAAACATTTCCTGGGCAAGGCAAACACGGGGGTACAGCAACACAGGAATGCGCAGTTCTATTCTGCACCTCTAATTAGCACGGTTGGCTACGTACGGTGCGAAAGATGTTCAACATACATACGTACGTACAAAGGAAGCTGCCTCAATTAATTCTAGATTTGAAGCTTTCGTGACTGCAAGGATTCATACTCTTAGTTCTTTCGGTAAAGTCACGTAGGTAAATTTTTATTTATTTTTTATTAATTTTAATTTCATTTTTTACCTACGTGACTTTACCGAAAGAGCTAAGAGTCTGCCTCAATTAGCATGTGGGTAAGCGTTCACCTGGAAGGGCACCTTCCCCGACTTGTATCCCTGTCGCTGAGGCACTGCCGAGCCCCTCCGCCTCCTCCCCCCAGCCCCCCTCCACTCTCAGCACCCCTCCCCCTCTTTGCCCCTGTCCAGGCTGAGCGCCAGGTTTCCCGTTGTCCATCACGTGCACGCGTCGCGCGCCCCACAGATGTTTTCCACCGTCCTCTGCTCCGCTCTGCTCGCATACTCGCCGTGCCAACAATGATATTTGGAGATGGAACCAACGTCTCAACACTTGTTATGGTGTTACTGTTGCCCGAACGTTCCTGTTACACGAGTTATGTTTCCACGGAAAGTTAATTCGTTCAAGAATGTCAAACTACTAGTGTAAGCGCTTGCAGAGAGGAATTTTATATTGTTTGATTGGCGAACGGGTGTTTGCTTATTCGTTTGCGGATTGCGTCCGAGCATGCCCTGGTCATTAAAGGGAAAAAAATATTATTTCGTGGGTCTCCCAATTAGAGCTGTTCGGAAAGTCCAAGAACAAAACTAGTTTACAGAACGTTAATAACCAACAAGGACACGTTTACAGATTTGGGCTTAAGCCCAGCAAAGTTTAAAAGGTTCTTGATTGTTATATAACCCATTTGTCAAATGCCAGCTGGCACGCGAATGTTCCGTCGTGTGCCGTGACGTGCTCCCTTCCAAGTCGCCCCTCTTTTCTCAATGCACTTTGGGGAATTTATGAACCCAGGAAATTGCTGAATGGCAAATGGTAAAAGGCTAAGGCTGCATAAAAACGTGTTAAAGCAGATTTGTCGCTGTTTATTTCAACTCATCCAATTTACGTGTAATTTTCTTAAGGCGCTTTAGTTTTTTTGCTTGAAATCTTCACCCTCCCCACCACCGCCCCTTTCATCATTTATCATTGGATTACATCACGCGGAAAGCATCGCTGATGCAGATAGCATGTTTTTAAAACCCAAAGAAATATTCCAATAATTTACGTTCTCCAGCTGCTACTTCGAAGCAACACTAAACCCCCACGTGATAATGTCAAAAGTCAAGTCATTAAAATGTGCTTCGCTCTATTAATGCCGCCATTACTCATGCAAACATTTGTTTGCATACGTCCTCGCTGGATACATCTGACCTTGCAAAATGTCAATTTATCATAACGCTCGGCGCATTGCGATGCGTGTTCTCGGCTCAACGAGGGAAACTCTTTCCCTCTTGCCGATGGACTGGCCCAGCCCATTCATGAGGGAGCTACGTCCTCCAGTCCTTGACATAGCAGCGTCTGAGGCCAATGTCATTGTCGCTCAGTGTGTCATTGGTCTATGATTGGCATATATTTCGATTTAAAGCTTTCGTGACTGCAGGGATTCATCTTCTTGGTTCTTTCGGTAAAGTCATGTAGAAGGGAAATAATAAAATAATAATAATTCAGACGCTGTCTCCCCGACAGACCTGTTTTTCACCTGAGGACGGCTGCTTGCGTTGTGGCCGCAACGTCGTGAGAATTATTTTATTGTGTTTTATTTTTATTATTTTAAATACTTCCCTTCTACGTGACTTTACCGAAAGAACCAAGAAGATTGGCATATAGTTCATTAGTCTAGCAGTGCAACTTCAAAGACACCGCTATGCAATGCTGCAGGATACGACTGCAAAAGGAAATGGCACTGAATATATGTGTCGAATAATAAGATTAAGTCAAGCGGTAAAATTGCGTAATTAATTTAACCTTCGTTACGTTATTTCCTCGCGTGCAAACAAGTTCGGAAATATTCTGCAGGAAAATCCAGTATTTCAGAAGCGCATTAGATATGTGTCTTAAACACGGTGCTATTGACCAAAACTGATTTTGTTGTTAAGACTTTTTTTTCCTATGCACTTTTAAAATGCCAATCACTCATTCACAGGTTGGTGAATGAAAACGAAGTCAAACAGTGGAAAGAACAAGCTGAAAAAATGCGAAAAGGTAATCTTGCGATTTAAATACTCCTGATTAGTGGATGCATTACACCTCTGCCTTTACACAACCTACATCCAACTGCTGGATGAGGGCCTCCCCATGCCTTGTCATTTATTTGACCATACTTAACCACTCTAGTCAGTCTGCTTCGATGAAGGCGGGGAATACAGATGTGAGCGCTTAGGAATTCAGTTCTGCAATGGATTTATGCTGCACTGTCACCCACTGCTGCGACTGGGTCGGGTGACTTGGCGAGAGGCACCTGTGCCCTTTAGTGCACCCGTAATCACGGAGCAATGTGTCCCGCAGAGCACAGCGAGCTGTTGGGCCGTCTGGAGAAGAAGGAGCGGGAGTGCGAGGCGAAGACGCAGGAGAAGGAGGACATGATGAAGACGCTGAACAAGATGAAGGAGAAGCTGCAGCGCGAGTCTCAGGAGCTGCGCGTCGCTCGCGAGCAGACGGCGGCCCTGAGCGCCAAGCTGCAGGAGATGGGGCACACGGTGAGAGACGGCCCCTTCCTCTCTCTCTCTGTCTCTCTGTCTCCCTGCTTGTCTGTCTGCATGTTTGTATGTATGTCTGGCAGTATCCTCTGTTTGTCTTCCTTTGCTTGTTTGCCTATATGCGTGTCTATCTGCTTGTCTGTTTGACTCTGCACTATCAACCAATCTCATTATCTTCTCATTTATCACAGCTGCTGCACTCAGGCCCGAAGGCTTATATCAATGAATCGTCAGCAACTCAGAGCACTTAAAACGCTACAAAACAACAATCATACAATCATACAGCCATTTGTCCATCCACTGGTGGATGATGGCCTCCATATACCATGTCGGTCAAGCAGATTGTTTTAACTATACTCCACCACGCTGGTCACCTCCGATTAGCATGGCTGGCTATGTACAGTGTGATAGAAGTTCAACATACATACAGCAGGTTGGTGACCGGTTTAGATAATGGCATTAACCGCATCCGGCAATCAAACTCAAATTGCCTCGTTCGTAGCGGAGTGCATGAATCTCTGCACCATCTCTCTACCCCAAACAGTAACATTTTAAATACAAATGTAACTTTGATTTTTAAGATAATTTATTCTGGAATTTAGGCGCCTCCCACCCCTCCCCTTCGCTCCCCCTCCATTTAATTTTCCTTCTCCCCCGCACCCCCACCCCATCCTTCCCCTAGAGGGTTATTCGAGTTAAGAAAGTAGACACCAGGGATATAGAGTTTATTGAAACACATGACATGGACAGGTTCTCTTTGTTGTCCTAAATCGTTTGTTCAATAAAATAATTTTTGGAAGAAAAATAATTTTAAAACCTGTGGAATATTGACTTTCAGGAGACAAAGCTGTGCAATGAGATGATGCCATTGGGGCGCTGCGCTGTCCTGCGGCCGTGTGCGTGCTTGCAGGGCATCATCACGGGCCCGCTCCCCAGCCTTGCTGCACCCCCGGCTCCTCCGCCGCTCATGGGGATTCCACTTCCACCTCCCTTCCCTGGCATGGGGGCGCCACCACCGCCCCCACCCCCACCGGGGGCACCTCCGCTCCCCCCGGGGCCCCCTCCACTCGGCATGAACTTTGCAGTGGCCCCAGCGGCACCCGTCCTCAAAAAGAAGAACATTCCCCAGCCAGCCAACCCGCTCAAGTCCTTCAACTGGGCCAAGCTGCCAGAGGTGAGTGCAAGGCCTGGCGCAAGCAGCTGTCCCTGGGGCTTTTTCTTCACAAGCGTGAGCGGGCCGGAATCCAAATCCCAGCCGCTCCGGTAAAAAATATAAAAATGTTTTAGACTTTTCCAAACGGATTTCTGCTCTTTCATACACAACAATCAGTCCATTGTTGAATGCCTGGTTGATGTTTTGATGGAAAAGAGGAGTGTGAAAGTCTTGGATTTAAAGCTTGATTTAGAAATCGAGTGTGGACTTCTTATCCTGCGACGTCTCAAGGTTGGTTTAATAATACTGTAATGCTTTTGTGATTTGCAGAACAAAATTGATGGCACAATATGGAGTGAGCTGGACGACCAGCGAGCGTTCCGAGTTCTGGACCTCCAGGACATTGAGAGGGTATTCTCGGCCTACCAACGGCAACAGGTAACAGCAGCACTGCGCTTACCCAGGAGAGGGGCTGGATACAGGCACGCAATAACTCTCTGTTGCAAATGACCGTGACCTCACCGTTTTAATTGATGTACTGTATTTAAAAGTAAAAGGGCACTGCACCTTACGAGAATGCAAGTGCTAAATAGGTCAAATTCCTTTGTTATACAAAACTGAGCAATTCGCAATTAGAGGGAATTATTTACTTTGTGATGATTGTGAAGGAAGTAATCCTCCCCTGTGGTCACAGCGGTTTGGTTCAATAATCATTCATTAAATAATGTAAAGACAGCCTTTTGGCAATCCACTCCTGGTGGAAGGCCTCCTCGTGTCGTATTGAACTGGAGGCTTATTTGAGACACGTTTGACCATACTTCACCACGCTGGCCAACATAATTGTTTGTCATTTAAAGATAAAAGTTCTTTTTACAAATCACGCATGTTTATTAAAGCAAAGTATGGTGTTAATTAAAAGTTTAAGTTTATATACCAGTTTATTAAATGTCTTTTTTTAACCTTGCATGTGTAAAAAAAAAAAATCAGATGCTGCATCAATGAACGGACGGAGCGTTTATGTGATTATGTATGTTGCAGTTAACTTCAAAGTGATTGCATATTATTGCAATCCAGTGCACACAGGACAAGTTCAAGCTTATCAAAAATTTAAATGCGGAATCTTTATTAACTCCCAGCGGCATAATACGTTGTGTGAATGCACTCTTTAAAAACGCTGGCGTTAGCTTTGCAGGACTTACTGCAGATTGTCCGGTGCGATGACATCACGAATTAGTCGTCGCGTCCACAGCCGCCTTCTTTGATGGTAGCAATTTAAATCGGCAGTCGTTGGAAACGGTTCGTTCCCACGACGCATGGGACTCATATTCTTAGGTTTTTTAGGTAAAGTCACGTAGGTAAAACATTTAAATTAATACAGCTATTGTGCTGTGACGGTTCCACCTGAAGACGGAAGCTTGTGTTGCCTCCGAAACGTCGTTATTTTTAAATTTTACTTTTTTTAATTTTAATTTTCTACCTACGTGACTTTACCGAAAAAACCTAAGAATATGAATCCTTGCAGTCACGAAAGCTTCAAATCTAGGACGCATGGGACGTCAAGTTTTTCCAACACCGCGGTCAATAAGCGACAAGCTCGCTCATTCGTATTGTCTCCTCGGCTTCGCATACTATCCCGGTGCTTGTCCTACATTTGCTGCTGTGCATTGTCCTCGCTCAGAACAATGACACCTCTGCGTGCTTACTGCTCTGAAGAGAATCGCAGCTTGCGTGATATTTAACTCGATCGGTGTTTGCCATGCAGCGTAAGGAGCTTGTTGAATCAGTGCAGATGTTTATTGCGCTGCATTTCTATCCTTCATTGCATATTGCTGCTCGAGGCATTTGCCTCTCTCCTGTCATTTAACACATTAACACAACTACTGTATAATGCGATGGCTGAAATGCAAGTGTCAAAGAATCCCTTTTTTAACAGAGAGCTGTCATGAAATTATTTTTCCGGAGCGCTCTGCTATCATGCCCTCATACCTCTGGCAGGGGAGGCCTGTGTGCTGTTTACAGCAGAGGTTTTTTTTCTCATTCTGGAATGCTTCTCTGCGCCGCTGCTGCCGGTTTGCTTTGCAAGCTAACGCTGCATGTCTTGTTCCTGTGTGCCTTGGCCTGCTACTCAGGACCTGCTGCCCTTCAATAATCTGAAACAGGTAAGCTCTGCCAACTGTGCCTGTGCTATGCTTTATTCAAGCGGAGCTCTGCAATGAATAGTTATTCTTGCATCCTTTTAGACGCATCGCCAAATATTACTTTTTTGGGTGGGGGGCTTACATTGATGCTGGAGGTAGAATAATGATTAGCACATCCATATCCCAACACAGCTGTTGACACATAGGACATGTTTCCTTAAATCCCCCGCTCCCTGCCTCCGTCCACCCAGCAGTACAAGTGGGTTCAACACATCGGCAGGTCGTGCGTGGCGGGGTAATTTGTGGGGTGCTCCCACCTCTTCCAAGACACCTGACCAGCGTGGAAGAGTAGGCCAAAACACACTCCAGAGGGGCTCTCTAGAGCTCCTTCTAGTGGAGGCTGTTCCCCCAGCAGTGGTGTGAGCAAACGACTTCAGGGCTGCGCCATTGCCTTTTTTTCTATGAAATATTTTGTTCTTAATTAGTCACGTACACATTGTGGTGAGTGCTTTGGGATCATACAGCAAAAACTACAGGTGGCTCACAGCAAAAAAACACCTAAATGTTTCGTTATTTTTAGGGTCCGCAGATGCCCTGTTAATGCATTTAATAGCCTTCAGGAAAAGCAGTGTTCATTTGACGTTGGGGACAAATGCTGCCCGTCCAACGGTCCACGAAGAAAGGCTCTTTCCAAGCGCGCGAGCCAATTAGAAGCCAATTTAGCTCATTTCAGGGTTTTGTGTGGGAGACCGTAGCTTGCAGTGCAATGCACTAACTCCCGCAAAAAAATGTCATAATCTGAATATCAACAACTTTTCTCCAAACAAAAAAAACAACTGCTTCTAATTTTCAGACCATGCATGGTGGTGCAGTCTGCCAAAAGACATTGCATTTAATTTACTCTGCTTCGAAAAAGACCACCTCCTGGGCCCCTCAAACAAGGCTCATTTTTTTATCTGATTGGATTCTTATTAAAAGTAAATGCATTTACGAGCAATGTTTTGCTTGATTTATCCTCCGATGCAGACGTCTATTTTAGATTTTTCTTAAAAGAGAGTACAGTATGAGTTTCTTTGCTTTATCTCTGTGTTTATGTTTGGTGGCTAGCGTGATTAAACAACATCAAATAGCGAAAGACCAAACGAAATACCTAGTTTCAAACAACTCAATGTTGTCAAGATCAATACGATTAACTAACATACACGCAATGGATGTATTTCTGAACGCCATCTAATACAACAAACGTAAAAATGCTAAACTATAAGTAAAAATGTAATGCTTTGTCTTTTTTTTTATATCGGCTATCTTGAAAAATATGCGCCGTTGCCTCACTGCTTGTGTGCCTAGTTAGCCAGCCACATACACCTCACAAGTGCAGAAACCATCGTACTTCCAGCTTGCGAACACCGGCCAAAAGAAACTCTCTCCTAATTTGACCGATGGAGCTTTGATGCTACGCAGCAGGTTGTTAATTCAACAAGAAGAGAGCTGATGTGTTTTTGAATTTCATTTGAAATGACAGAAGGAATTGGGTTCAACCGAGGACCTTCACCACGGCAACAAGAGAGCCAAAGAACTGTCCGTCATCGACGGACGCCGGGCTCAGAACTGTGTCATCTTGCTCTCCAAGTAAGTGTTGTGCCGTGCGTCATGATGTCACACCCAGCGCCAGGGGCACAGGCCACACTTTGGGAAAGTTGGGGGAGCTACTACCAGTGCATCAAGTTCAAGTTCATTTTCAAGTTCATTTATTAGGTATAGCCCTGTGAGCCATTCGGCTCTTGAATCGGGTGCAACCGCAACAAACAAAAAACAAAAACATGAACAAGAAAACATCTTAAGTGAATATGTGACTAAGTGCAAACAGAAAATCCAAGAAAAGACAGCAAAATATTGCAGAAAAAATCACCGTACACCAACGCTGTGTGCAAAAATTCCAGTGGGATGCAAGTCAAACAACCAACAACAACCACAAGACAACTTAGATTAAGGCCATCAGTCTAACTCTGTACTACAACAAACAAACATGGCTAAACCAATACACTTTTCGAAATCACCAAAATAAAGCCATGGTAGTAAGTTGAAGATTTCAATTTGATTTATTCTCCGACATGATTAAACTAATAGTAATAATCATGAAGCAGTGTTCGTAGATCAGAGGGGTTGTTTGGCCATATTTCGCGATGCTGGCCAGTGCAGATTGGTGAAAGGCATTGAAGTGTGTCAATGTGAATCACTATAACATTAGTAGAAACATTGTTTTAATATCATATTTCATTGTAAAACAACACCTTACCTGTACCCATATATACTGTATTAAATATATACCTAAATAACTATATTCATTGAAACATCTGGATACATCCAAAGCGTAGGTTTAAATTTAGTGGACGCCCAGATGGCAATCGTATCACAGGTCCGGCCAACCTGGCAAGGTCTGCGTAAGTCATTAACCACTGTCTTGAAGGCCTCACCAACACCACTGCCCAAATTGGCACGTGGTTACGCTCTGCAGTGAGCAGCTCACAACGTTGGTCTATTGTATTTTTCGATTTAAAGCTTTCGTGACTGCAGGGATTCATCTTCTTGGTTCTTTCGGTAAAGTCACGTAGAAGGGAAGTAATGAAATAATAAAAATAAATATAAAACTAATTACTTCCCTTCTACGTGACTTTACCGAAAGAACCAAGAAGTTGGTCTATTGTCTTTAGATACATTTTTTTTTAAGCACGGCACTTTCGGGTTAAAGTCACCTATTTTTATTGCTTTGTTAGGGGTGAAGTGGTAACACTTCATGGCAAGGAGGGCCGAGGTGGGATTCCCGATTGGGGTGCCTTTCTGTGTGCAGTTATATATAAGTAATACGTTTAATGCTTCTCCCCCTGTTCAACATCGGTTTCCTCTAGGCTCTCCATGTTCTTCGCATGGTCAATAAAAACAACATGCATAGTAATTGGTGTTGGCCAAAACAGCCCAATGTTGAAAAATCGCCTGCAGACTACTAAATTTGGAATGCACACAGCATCCATCGCCTCCTACTACTAAACTTCGTAGGACCCTCCTAAAAAAGTGTAATAGCATAATAATAGTGATAAATTAAGCAAATTCAGCTGGGCTATCCCATTATATGAGTAATCAATCCATCGATTAATGGTGCAATGGGATAACTAGAAAATAGAAAAAAGTTTCACCTCTGTAATCATCTGTGCCACGAGAAGGGAGGTTATAGCCTCTTCAGAAATATCAGCTAAAGCTAAATTCTTTATAAGCATAACAAGATCATTAACAGAACAAACTCTTATTTGACAGGTACTATTATTTGACAGGTACTATTCTACTATTCTACTTTACCGAGTGTTGACATCCCCAGCGTTTAACAGTACTCCCCTTTTTGTATTTGGATTGTCAACCAACACCGGTTACAACAACAACAAGTGCACCTATTGTTCTCTTTTAGCCCCACCCACCCCCCAACACGTTCCATTCATTGGCTACCACATTCAGATAAGCCCCTCCCCCCCTCCCCCTTAACTTGTATTTAAGAGCTTGTCTCTTGGAATTTTGCCTCACTTGATACAGTAAATTAAGCTGTGACGGTCCCGCCTGATGACGGAGACATGTGTTGCCTCCGAAACGTCGTGATTTATTATTTAATTTCTATTATTATTTCTATTATTTTTATTTTATTATTATTTTTATTTACCTACGTGACTTTACCGAAAACACCTAAGAGTATGAATCCTTGCAGTCACGAAAGCTTCAGATCTAGAATTAACAGACCAAACACAGGATCCTCTCTCACATCTATCTTGTCTGCGTCTCCTCTCATCTCATTACATATATGTTATCTTACATTAATATCGCTTGCCTTCATATTTTCTATCATCTGATTAGGATTACATAGATTGAAAGGGGTCACCCTCAAAATCCTGCTTAGGGCCCCCAGTGGACGAGCACCACTACTGTGCATAGTTTCAAGCACTATTTGCTAGTTTCCATCTTTATGTAATACCAAATGAAGCAGTGGACTTGTTTTTAAGGAAGCAATGTCAACATATTTTGTGTGATCTTCTGCGTAAACTCTTTGTGCACGTGGGACTGATCTGGTGCTGGCAGCCAAACTTCGTGAAGCACTCAAGCTGTTAAAAGTACAAAAAATAAATAATATTGTTTTTTGCAAATACAGACACTTTTCATTTAATTATATATTGGGCTTTTTTTTTCTCTCTCTCAAAATATTGAATTCACTTCCAAGAAAACATTTGGACAGAGGCATTCACAAAAACACAGTGTGACGAGCCAACTTGTGACGATCATACATGCGTTCCTCATTCCCCATTTTTGAAACGACAGATTTCTCCCTGAAGTTGTGTTTTTTTTTGTGTGTGTGAAACAAAGACGACGTGTGTTAGAGCAGGGAGAATGAGCAGGGTGCTGTGTTGCACGTGACGTTTCATGTGATAGCCCGGCCCGGTCTGGCCTGGTCTGGCCCGGCTACCGAGCTGCCTTGTGGCACGACTCATGGGATGTTGGTTGCTTGGCAGCTTGGGGAGTCTGCCGACACGCCCAGCCCTGTTTGCACAAAGTGACCTCACAGAGGTCAACGCAGAGCCACTCTGTTCACACTTAGTGGCAGGAGGCATGGCTACAGTCGTCACTGATCCAGACGTGTGCTCTCTCCAGCCAGGTGGCTCTATGTGCAGAGCACCATCATACTAACATTTGGAAGGTTTCGATTTAAAGCTTTCGTGACTGCAGGGATTCATCTTCTTGGTTATTTCGGTATTTCCATTCTACGTGACTTTACCGAAAGAACCAAGAAGATTAGGAAGATTGCTATAATGATTGCTACTTTGTGCCACCTGCAGTCGAATGATCTTAGCTTATGATTGTGATAACTTTGTGCAACGTGGTTGTCCTATGAGAAGAATGGCTCTCACCACTATAAATTAAGTTGATTACCACTTCATTCATTTGAGCATGGGGACACCTTTTGAATATTATTGTAAATAAAACTGCATTCAATCCTTGCATTTCTTTCACGTAACTTTACTGTTTAGCAGTTTTCAGTAATTGTTGTATGCGCTCCAGTACAGAATCTGGCGCACGTACAGAAATGTCACATTTGAATGAGACTTCAAACTCTTTGCCAACTCTGGGCAGCAGTGGCAGCTGCTACTTTTGTCCTGGTCAGATGTGGCCTTGCTGCTAGATTATGGCACAGTCACCGAGCAAAGAGACTGCTGAAAAAAAAATTCCGCAATTTTCTGTGGGAATTTATTTGTAACTATTCACGTATTTTTATTTTGTAATAAAAAAAATACTGTTCCTATTTTTCTAATATGAAATAGTGTAAAATGTATTTCTTTGTATATATTAACAATACAAATGTACAGCCGATAATTTACCCACTATGGGATGAAGGCCTGGATGTTTGACCATACTTCACCATGTTGGTCAGTGTGGGTTGGTGATGGGAAGTATCTCCTCTGTACGGTTATTAACATTAGAACACAACTTTTGGTTTTACAAAGTGACCTTGTTTATGCTGCATACAAGGAGACACTGTTTTGTAACTGCGAACATGACTCTTCTATGAGTCCCATGACACGGAATGTATTGTGCTGTCTCTGCAGTCTGTCATGGGATTGTTAATATCCACGTGCAGGCAAAACAGCCCATCACTCACACAGCAGCCTCAGCTCCCTGTGTCCTTCCATCGCAGTTATCCATTGCTGTCTCCTGTTTCTCATTGGTTTGCCCATTGATGTTCTGTGTCAGGGGTCGGCAAACTGCAGCTCCGGAGCCAAATGCGGCTCTTTGGCTGCCCCTTGAGGCTCTTTGGCTGCCCCCTTGTGGCTCTTTGGCTGCCCCTTGAGGCTCTTTGGCTGCCCCCTTGAGGTTCTTTGGCTGCCCCCTCGTGGCTCTTTGGCTGCCCCCTTGTGACTCTTTGGCTGCCCCCTTGAGGCTCTTTGGCTGCCCCCCTGTGGTTCTTTGGCTGCCCCCTTGTGGTTCTTTGGCTGCCACCTCGTGACTCTTTGGCTGCCCCCTTGTGGCTCTTTGGCTGCCCCCTCGTGACTCTTTGGCTGCCCCCTCGTGACTCTTTGGCTGCCCCCTTGGGGCTCTTTGGCTGCCCCCTTGCGAGTCTTTGGTTGCCCCCTTGCGAGTCTTTGGCTGCCCCCTCGTGACTCTTTGGCTGCCCCCTCGTGACTCTTTGGCTGCCCCCTTGTGGCTCTTTGGCTGCCCCCTCGTGACTCTTTGGCTGCCCCCTTGGGGCTCTTTGGCTGCCCCCTTGCGAGTCTTTGGCTGCCCCCTTGCGACTCTTTGGCTGCCCCCTCGTGACTCTTTGGCTGCCCTCTTGGGGCTCTTTGGCTGCCCCCTTGCGAGTCTTTGGCTGCCCCCTTGCGACTTTTTGGCTGCCCCCTTGCGAGTCTTTGGCTGCCCCCTCGTGACTCTTTGGCTGCCCCCTCGTGACTCTTTGGCTGCCCCCTTGTGACTCTTTGGCTGCCCCCTTGTGACTCTTTGGCTGCCCCCTCGTGACTCTTTGGCTGCCCCCTTGTGACTCTTTGGCTGCCCCCTTGTGACTCTTTGGCTGCCCCCTTGCGACTCTTTGGCTGCCCCCTTGTGACTCTTTGGCTACCCCCTTGCGACTCTTTGGCTGCCCCCTTGAGGCTCTTTGGCTGCCCCCTTGCGAGTCTTTGGCTGCCCCCTTGCGACTCTTTGGCTGCCCCCTTGTGACTCTTTGGCTGCCCCCTCGTGACTCTTTGGCTGCCCCCTTGTGACTCTTTGGCTGCCCCCTTGAGGCTCTTTGGCTGCCCCCTTGCGAGTCTTTGGCTGCCCCCTTGCGACTCTTTGGCTGCCCCCTTGCGACTCTTTGGCTGTCCCCTTGTGACTCTTTGGCTGCCCCCTTGTGACTCTTTGGCTGCCCCCTTGTGACTCTTTGGCTGCCCCCTTGTGACTCTTTGGCTGCCCCCTTGTGACTCTTTGACTGCCCCCTTGTGACTCTTTGGCTGCCCCCTTGTGACTCTTTGGCTGCCCCCTTGTGACTCTTTGGCTGCCCCCTCGTGACTCTTTGGCTGCCCCTTTGAGGCTCTTTGGCTGCCCCCTTGCGACTCTTTGGCTGTCCCCTTCGGACTCTTCAGCTGTTGTGTTTGTTTGGACAAGTAGCTTTGCGTGTGATGCGACTCACGAAATATTTTGGTCAAAGACAAAAACCCCAAAAAATGGCTCTTGTACTTCGAAAGGTTGCCGACCCCCGTTATATGTGAATATAAATACCCAAATATATATAGTAAATATATTTGGGTTTCTGCCATGGTGTAATGGTGAGCGCCCTTGATTTGCAATCCAGAGGTTCCCAGTGCGATCTTCTGACACGGCAAATGAAGTTTCCTTCAATATCTCTGCCTCTGTCCACCCAGAGTTATAAATGGGTACACAACAGTTCGTCGTTCGGCAGCTCACGTGTGGTGGGGTGAAGTGGGTATACTGCCACTTGATTTGAAGCTTTCGTGACTGCAAGGATTCATACTCTTAGTTTTTTCAGTAAAGTCACGTAGGTAAAAAATGAAATTAAAATTAATTTTTTAAAAATATTAATACAAATATTTTATTAATTTTAATTTAAATTTTTACCTACGTGACTTTACCGAAAAAACTAAGAGTATGTACTGCCACTTCTAAAACGCCTGTTCAGTGTGTGGAAGAGTAAGTCAAATACATGTGAAGGGGCTCCTCTTGAGCTCTCTCCAGTGGAGGCCGTTCCACTCGCAGTGGCTTGAGCAAGAACTTGCTGGGGTGTGCTTCTTTACATTTTTTACCATTAATTTATGTTGTTTTCATCTGGCAGTTTTGAATATCACAACTTCATTTGGTGGAATATTTTATAGCGGTAATGTTTTTGGTAAAAAGCACACGTGTCTTCACAACTCACTGTAAATAGTGGATTTAAAATCCTCAGTGTGTTGTATGTGCTCTCGTACTTTTAACTGTATTAAGCAGCAGTTAAATATAGCTGGGAGGTTATGTTGTTCACAAGGCTTATGTGTTGTTGTCCTTAAGGCTGAAGATGTCCAATGAGGAGATAAAGCGAGCGCTGATGAGGATGGACGAGCAAGAGGAACTGCCCAAAGATATGCTGGAGCAGGTTTGTATTTACATTGTCAACATGCGAATCGGTATTTAAGTTCAACAACAGTATCCTAATAATCACTGTAACCATCATAGATGTATAATATGCTCTGTCGCCATTGTCATCATCGCCATCAATCACAATGTACCTTCATGTTGGTCTGGAGCCGTTCTCTCATTATCTTTACGCGTGAATGTCCGGCCAAAGCAATGTCTTTGGCGCAGCGTCTGTCCCAAGGGACATTTCTGAATTTCACATCAAATTGGCACAAAACGAGGTTGAGACCAAGTGCAAGGCCGTGAACCCCCCCACCCCCTCCCCGCCATGTGCTGTCAAGCACTGACACCATGGCATGTTCCACATAGAGCTCCTGGGGAAATTTCTGCAATCCCAGTCATCCCAGTGTCAGGAAGCCCACCCCTACCTCCTTGTCCTGTCTTTACCCATTGCTGGATTCATCTCCTTAAATGTTAAGCTGTCTTCGGAGGTGTCGCAAGTGACGTAACTTAGCATCGAATTCCTGCAAGCCATCATCTTAAGCCTCGCTAAAGTTGAGACTAACCATTATAAACAACCGGGGCTCTTTGTGGAATCTCAAAAAAAAACTCAAAATAATGTTGGTGCAAGTGGTTAATCAATCACCCATGTGTGTACATTTAGTTCCTTGCTAGGGTACGTGGACCCCGCATGTGTTAACTAGAAGCCAAACTGACCACAAAACCTTTTTGAAAGTAAGTGGGGCAAGGCACTGCAGGGTAGAAGCGCATGTTTGTTTCTGTGGATAACCAAAGCGTGCTTCATGTCTTGTACATTTATATATATATTTAATAGATAACGGTGCACACGTATATATGAAAAGCATATGTTTAAATAGACAGAAAGGAAGAATCAACGTTTTTGGCCATGTGGTCTTTTTGAGTGTGTCATGGAACCCGACATGTGTATTTCTCTGTGGGAGGCAAAATAGAAATGACACTGATGGGGTTGACCAGAGGCACCATGTGGTACAGATTCGAAATCATCTAATTGTGCCCATGCAGCGCTCCGTTTTACACGGCTGTAGACAAACAAATGAAGCCGCGTGGCTCCTCTTGCTCAGAGTCTGGATGCTGAAAGTTTACTCGAGCATCGTGCGGAGGCTTAAATGCTTTAGGTTTTTATCAAGCTGTTCCTTGGACCGTTTATGTAACCAAATTCTTGGCAAGCTCTCGCCATTAAAAAAAAATACTGACGGTTTCCTCTTACTGAAGCCCTCCCATCCGATAAAGCTAAAAACTTAGCACATTTTTTAGAAAGCCATATAAATTTAAAGGTTGGCCCATTTCCAAGAATTTTTTTTGAGAAAAACATTTTTTTTGTCCTTTTTTATACGAATAATCTGTGCTTTAGTTGTCAAACATGAATATCTGCACACTAGGTCACTTTGAGTGCATGTTGGTTATTATTTAAAGGACAGATGGTTGGGCATGCAAGTGGGGGTAACCTCAACTTAAGCAAAGAGAAAGATTAGAACGAGTATTGTTCATCGCTGCTTGGAAAAAATGTTGGCTCACAGTTTAAGATAACTTGTGGGGAATATGATGAAGTTGGTTAGACCACAGGACACTGCATAACAAATTACTTGGCCGCTGTGTTTTTTGTTAACTTCTGGAATTAAGCCATGGAAAATTCATATTTTGACACAATTGTGAAGTTAATAGCAAAACTAAAACGATGTGTTATCCAAAGCCACGTGGAATACAACTCAGAATTATTTTCTCAATCGAAACTGCTTTGTAGTAAAACATTAGTGATAATATCGCGTGATTTTTTTTAACTTAGTTTCGTGATAAAATTCAGCCTTGGTGACACTGCCATTACAGTATTATTCAGTTGACAAATTAGAAGGTTCTGAGTTCAACTTCCTATCGGAGGCCCCTTCAGCTATTATCAACTCCAGTGTGGTTAACATAAGCACTGCTGTGAGAGTGGTTGGCCGTGGATATAGTGGCCCCTCTCTCATGGAAATATGGAATTCACACCACTGTCTTAGGGTCACCAATGAACATATGCACATGCGTTGTTTGAGATAGAAGACACCTTGAATCCTTCACTCGCAATGTGACTATCCCTGCCGGTAGTTAATAGGCATGTAATCATTCACCCCCCACAATGAAATTACATTATTCATTGTAACAATTTGATTTAATACTCAAATATTTTAAGTGTTTTCTGTCTAGTCTGTGCAGTATTATTCACTTCCTGAGCTGAAACATAACACGAGCATGTAATTTGTGTCCAATTCACACGAACCATTAAATAATCTCGTCTCGCACTGCTTGTGCTGCGTGCACCGTTTTCGCGTTTCTACGCTCCGATCATTGCGAGTCTACTGAGTTAACTCTCTCGTGTGCCATCAATGTCTCTGTGCCGCCGCCATCGCCTTCACAGCTGCTCAAGTTTGTGCCGGAGAAGAGCGATGTGGACGTGCTGGAGGAGCACCGGCACGAGATCGAGCGCATGGCCCGCGCCGACCGCTTTCTCTTTGACATGAGCAGGTGAGCACCGAGCGAACGGCACAACAACTATACACGCCGAGCAGCGCACCCATCACACCGTGCGGCACACCGACCACACCGAGCGGCACACCAACCACACTGAGAGGCACACCAACCACGCTGAGCGGCACACCAACCACTCCGAGCGGCACACCAACCACTCAGAGCAGCACACCAACCACTCAGAGCAGCACACCAACCACTCAGAGCGGCACACCAACCACACTGAGAGGCACACCAACCACGCTGAGCGGCACACCAACCACTCCGAGCGGCACACCAACCACTCAGAGCAGCACACCAACCACTCAGAGCGGCACACCAACCACGCCGAGTGGCACACCAACCAATCCGTGTGGCACACCAACCACACCGTACGGCACACCAACCACACCGTGCGGCACACCAACCACTCAGAGCGACAAACCAACCACGCTGAGCGGCACACCAACCACACCGTGCGGCACACCAACCACTCCGAGCGGCACACCAACCACTCAGAGCGACAAACCAACCACTCAGAGCGACACACCGACCACACCGTGCGGCACACCAACCACTCAGAGCGGCACACCAACCACTCAGAGCGACACACCGACCACACCGTGCGGCGCACCAACCACTCAGAGCGGCACACCAACCACTCAGAGCGACACACCGACCACACCGTGCGGCACACCAACTATGCCGAGCAGCACACCCGCCACACCGGCGCCGAGAACTCACCGCGACTGAGGCGCCGCCTACCATGCCCTGTGCGCACGAGGGTATAATTAATAAGTACTGTATATTGAGTGTAATACAAAATAAATTACCAATTTCCCTTCACTTTGTGATTACATTCCGCTTAGTTTATGTATTTTTCCGTGCATTTCTTTACTCCCAGTAGAGATAAAGGTCGCTTCAGTTTTTAAGCTGCAGTTTTCTCAGCCTAAATCTGCCATGAGTCTTCGAATACATTTTACAATCTATAACACTTATGACGCACATGCTGTTGGAAACACAAGAAATAAACAAATAAATTAACATCTGCGATTGCCTCGGTTTACTGTAGATCACCATGCAGGAAAACAAGCATGTGAATTGAATAGCACGGCTATTCCATCAGAATTGTAATTATTCTGTTATATCACAAATATTTCGCCAAAAAATGCGATATTTTAAAAAATGAACAACTACTTGAAGATATTATGCAAGACAGAAGATACGTATATCGTGGGCCTTGTATCATACAATACATCGTAGTATCGTCGCCACATCAAGGCCACTATAACGTGCCCCCACCACACCGGTGGTTATTGGGTAGATTATAAAGAGGATCTGGAAAATTCACACCACCCCCCTCCCCTGCTTCAGTCACATATTAGAGGAGCTCCACTGTACTGCAATTGTTCTAGAAAATCTACACACCGACTGGCTATTGACTTCGAACATGGGCCCACTCTGTATTTGAAGTTTTCTTCATCGACATGATTGCAACCATTTACAATATGAGACCTCCTTTACCAGTGGCAAAATATGGTCATAGATTTTTACCCTTTCAACTGGTACAAAAACTGACAGCTTTGTAAGGTGTATAAAGGTGTCAGTTTTTGTACCAGTTGAAAGGGTAAAAACCTATGACTATGATTGCAACTGTCGGCATAATCGACGTATCTCCCCCCCCCCACACCGTTCCTTCTAAATCTACGCGCTCGGCTGGCTATTGTCACCGTACTGAAAAATGCGCACTCAAAAATAACGTGAATTTGGTCAGAAAATGTTGTGGTGGGGGGATGGGAGGGTGTTCGGCTGTCGGCAGTTGACATGGAGGCACTGCTGCTGTGCTGGGCGGTAGCCGTGAAGGCTTCTTCTTGATCTCAGCAGGGGGGGCCCCTTTTGATGCCGAGCGGGAGGTGGGGGGTGGTGGCTGCTTTTGGCCAGGCTGCTGGCAATGGAGTTTGTGTTTTTTTTCTGGGGGGTCTGTTTGTGGCCTCCGTGGACTAAACACCGCACGCCACACTCGCGCACGCGTACGCACACGGCGAGAATTTATACGCTCTGTTAATGTAGCGACAAGGACGAATCGACCAATGCAATATAAGTCAATAAATACCGGATTACGAATACGCCTGCATTGTATTAAAAATCCAGTCGAGGTGCATGTTTTGTACCCAATTTATTTCACATTTTGTGCCATAGAACTCGGTGTGTTTTTTATGCGTTTTACCTTTTTAATTAATATTTCAAATTGTTAATGGTGCCTGGATTATGATTATTATCAAATTCTTATTGAATAGCTGCGAACTTTCCTTCTCACTGGGGGTAGAACATCTTTGTTTCATACACATGTGTATACACTTTTTTTTTACTGGTGGTGGGGGGGGTGTGTGCAAAGAGTGGAGGGGATATGGTTGGGACCTGGACCGTTTGAGGGCCAGGGGATTTTCTGTTGGGAGGAAATCGTTTCCGCTTTATGATCGGAAGTCAATAGTTATCACGCTAATGATCTCGGATTTTCGTCTCTGTATCCGGACTTGGAAGCTCTGAGAAGTTTCCCTGCGATGTGCGGTGATGAACCATGTCATTGGCGACTGTGTTTGCGCGTGTTTGCCATTGGGCGTTATTGTGGCTGCTCGCGTAAAAATTCCCTGCTTTTGTGCTCTATTTGTAACTATTCTTGGGTTTTTTCGGTAAAGTCACGTAGGTAAAAAATTTAAATTAATAAAAGTAAAATAAAAAACCCAAGAATATGAATCCTTGCAGTCACGAAAGCTTCAAATCTAGAATTATTTGTAACTAATTATATGGATCTGTCCACACCAGTACAATTCTGTATTCACTAATGGATTTCTGTTTATACGCCTTATATGCTGTTGTGCTTATCTGTACGTGCACGCGCGTGTTCGTGTGTGTCCGTTTCACAAACAGGATTCCTCATTACCAGCAACGGTTACAGGCGCTTTTCTTCAAGAAGAAGTTTGCCGAGCGACTTGGGGAGTGCAAGCCGAAGGTGGAAGGTGAGACACAAACATGTGATGTCATGTGACTCATGATGCGGCTTGTACTCCTAAGCCTCATTTCTTTAAAACTGCTTTTTGTATTTAGTTTGTTGTCCTTCCCCCGCACCTCAGGTTAGCACGGTTAGCTACGTGTGAGAAAAGTTCAACATACATACAAGCTCGCTGCGATGTAACCCCATGTATTGTATTGCATGCGTTTCCTCCCTCCTCTTGGCCATCCGTACTGCTGAGACCTTCCCCTGTTCAAGTTCTTCAGGCTCAAGACATTCCTCTTCTCGCGATGACTGCCTGTCTGTCTCCATGAAGTGCCTTCATTCACTCTCTTGCCATACTGTCTGCTTATGTCCTGATTTGCCCTGTAGTCATGAATCTTTTATTCCTTGTCTTCCAAAGATAAATCTCTTTAAAATATCCTTCGCTGATCTTACGAATTGAGTGGGTTCCACCCCCCCCAGCCCCCATTGCCCCCTCTCCCCTCCCTGCAGTTTCCCTTTTATAAGTGGTTGGAAGAATACTTTGATGAGAGTGGCTACGCTTCTGCGAGCATCGTTCATTCAAAGTGATATTGATTCTGTATCGATGTGTTGTGCTCAGTGCTTTTTTGTTGATGAATAGAAAAATAATTTACCAAACAAAATTGTCCTTAAACAAGTCGTGGGGAGCATAGGGGTGTGTGCCCCATCCACGACTATGCCAAATTTGTTGGATCTTGTATTATTTATAAATCTATGATTGTATTGTATTATGTGCACATTTACTGGGTTAAATGAGTTACGGATGAAAAATGAAGAAAAATTACCAAGAATGTTTAGTATGGTTATAAACACTGCATGTCTAGCAAAATAAATGTAAATTTAGTCGTCTTGTGAAATTGACTTTTTTATTACGTATCTCAGAGGGCACGTATGGAATTCTCTGAGCATTCCATTGACCTTCATGCCATCGTTTAATTATATCTCTGTATTCATGGCGGCGAGTGCAGGGAAAGTGGTGTAATGAGCTTAGGGTCCACAGTATATCCTTCATCCATCCTTCACATAGTAGCCACTCAATTGTCTGATAACGCGGCACGGATATTTTTTCCATTACGAGTCTTGTTGCGACCCGGTGCTTGTGTTCTTGTCAAGGCCTTATGCCTCCCTGTGTGTGGCGCGCACAATATAAATGGGAACGCCACAGTTAGTTGATCAGGAGGTGGTGGCATGTGGCGGGGTAAAGTGTGGGTAGCCCCACCTCTTCCAAGGCCAGTGTGGAAGAGGAGGGAAGACAACCTGGAGAGAGATTAATCTAGAGCAGCCCTTCTGCTGGCATTGTCATGAGCAAGACATTTCGTAGCTGCATCTTTACCTTTATATATAAAACAACATTTATCATGTTGCGTTCCAGGGTGCATCTCTGCTTGTGCCTCTCCAGCCCCATAGCATCAGCAGGAGGTTGGAGGGGGCCGACATTCTTACAGTGTCATAATGACTGTGTTCCACAAGCTTCAATGACTGCTCGCACATACATACACACGCTGACTGATTTTCTGCAGTATCCTTTTGATTTGCAAGCCTCATTTGATGTGCAAACTGTATTGGTTGGGAGGAGGCTGGACAAAACGCAAAGTTTAATGCAATTAAACGATGGCGGTTGCATCCGTTCCTCGTATACGCAGGGGGCGAGAGCCAGAGCAGAATTCACAGGAGACAAAACAATCTCATACCGTTACTCATTTTGTTGAGCATTTATCATTTGTTTAGAGTCTGAAGCTCACTGCTACCTCTGGTGCCACGCCCCGCTGCCTCCCCTTCCTTGCACATCTGTAGCCATCCTGTTGGCATCACGCGAGGTGTCAAGAAGCCGGCGCCTCCGGCAGCTGCTGGAGCTGGTACTGGCGCTGGGGAACTACATGAACAAGGGCCAGCGAGGCAACGCCTACGGATTCAAGATTTCGAGCCTCAACAAGATCGCCGACACCAAGTCCAGCACCGACAAGTGAGCACTCCCGAGCCTTCGGCACCGTAACAAAATGTACAGGGTGATCCACGTACAGATGCTCCACTCATTTCCAGTGTGACTTGTAAACTTCCAATCAACATGTAAATTTGATATTCAGAGAGCGATGGCTTTGTGTCCACATAGGGGAGTGCCCAAAACATGTAATTGGTGCATTGCGATTACTGGGAGACGTGCAGAGGCATTAAAATGAAGTGTTGATTTCTCTATAATCTTTGCCGTATTCCTTTCGTGGGATATCAATGAATGCATCACCCTGTAGGATAATTATAATAATGCTCTTTATTAGTTTATAAAAAAAACCTCACCGAGTCTCAATTATTATTTTCAGGAGAGTCCTGTATTGGCACGTTTGGCCATTTTCTTAATGAAGCGTTGGACGTCTTTGTGGGAGGAAGCTAGATTACCTGGGGAAAATTCACCACGCATATGAGGGTCTAAACACTCAACGCACCAACCAGAGGAACTCAACAACCGTTGCTGTTTTGCAATCTTCTGGCCACCTTGCAGCCTGAGCCTGTGACAACTGGTATTCTCAGGCTGTATCCTATCCCGGTACTAGCCAGGCTCAAAATCCCTGCTTAGCTTCCGATATCTGTCGAGGTCGATCGCATTCAGGGTGATTTGGCCCCTGGTAGTTGAACTCTTTAATGACACTGGTTATCCTGTACAGTTCTACTTCAGCTTCTTTCAACTTCTAACTGTATAAGCAATTTACCTAAAATGGTATCCTCATGTTAGAAAAATGTGCACTTCACATGATCAAAGCTTTAGACCACATGAAAAAAAACCCCGCCCTACTTCTCCAAACATGGACCCTGAAGGTTTGCCAGGCGCCAAGCATGGCTCACTTCATCTGACACGAATTTCCATTGCTGGCTGCTTGGGTCCCCGCATAGGCCACATGAGTCTGAAAGAGTAAACAATAAGATTAACAATGCATCAATTCATGTTACCTCTCCGTCAGCCTCGGCTGACATGCTCATACCGCCCGAGCGAGTGTTTTTTGGAACGTACTTATGCCTCTTCTAATGATGCTATTTGTCTGAGCGAGTTTATGCCTCGGCGTTGATGGTTGTATTGAATTTCCCTCTCGTGGCTTAGAAAGCTGGGTGATGAGCATGTTGGGGCAAGGGGAGACATTGCTATCATTGCGAGCAAGGTTTGGTGAAAATTTATGAACGTGAAATAAAAGAGAGACCCATTGTCCGTGTGAGTACGTGCGTAACGCTTGGCTGTTAAACAGATTTATGTGTTTCATGTCCCTTTATTTATGAATGTTAGATTAAGTTAAATTAGGTGTCGTGTTTTGTAGTAAATGAAATTTATACGTGTTTCATTTCTTGTTGCACTTTGGGTTTACTCGGTTCCAAGAAGAGAGAGCTACATTTTTATATTTTTACTATCACCTAATATCTGATGGCAGATTTAAGTTTGTCAGTTTGCATATATCCATATTGCATTGTCAATCCTGTTCTGAGCGGGGTCTTCCATTGTAAACAGAGGCTGAAAATTACAACTCAACTGAAATATTTGATGTCGGTAATTTAATAAGTCTGTAAAGCCTTTAGCATTGCCTACAAATATTGCGCGAGACAAAGAGTCGGTTGACGTAATATAGTACAGTTTGCTTGAATACAGGGAAAAAAGTTACTTTTATTACACTTTATTTCTCATCTGGCAGCAAAGGGCATTAAAATCGTCTCGTGAAATCCGAGTGGGTTTCATGCGCCGCCGATGCTCAATCCGCACTCTTCAGTGCATCGACCTTTCACATTAAAGGTGGTGGCGGCGGCAGCGGCACCCGCGTGACCCCCCCCCCCCCATCCCACTGTGTGCGGCAGGAACATCAACCTGCTGCACTACCTCATCATCGTGGTGGAGAAGAAGTTCCCGGACGTGCTGGGCATATCTGATGACCTGCAGCACGTGCCCGAGGCCGCCAAAGTCAAGTGAGTCCCACGGATGTGTCGCCACGTGGTCACGGACCATGCTGCGTTTGTGTAGTCGCTCAAGCCTGCTGCAGCGTGTTACCTTGCTTAAACGGGGTGGCGGGCGAGAGGAGGGTGGCGGCATCAATGTTGGCGGCGGCTCATCACATGGCTTCCTTCCCCCACTTGCCTGTGGTTCCTTGCAGCATCTTTGAGTCGTTCTTTCTCTACGAGAGTGAGCGAAACGTTCAACAATGTTTAAACGAACATTAAATGCTCGGCATAATGAGTTATGATTTTGATCTGCTTTTGTTCGTGACGCATTCTGCCCTGGCTCTCGCCCCCTGCGTATATGGTGAAACGCTACGACGCACATCTCTTAGTTGTGCTAATATTTTGTACAATCACTTTTTTACTTGATTATAAGAATTCAGCAGGGGGCTGAGACTTCTGCATAGGGGTTGGGTGGGATATGTGGGGGGGGGCGGGGGGCAGTTCCCCCAGACGCTCTGTAGATGCTTTGCCCCCACCAGAGTCCCACACAGATGTTGGTCTCACGTCAGTTGCCTGTCTTCCACAGCCTGACGGAGATGGAGAAGGAGATCAACAACATCAAGATTGGGCTGAAAGCCGTGGAAGCTGTAAGTGTGTCACACGTGAAAGGGCTAATATTTTATTGCTGCAGAGATGTTGAATAATTGTGTGACATCCGGAATGGACCCCACCTCATCGTTCAAGAAATGCTACATAAGCTGGAAATATTTTTCTCCAGTCCAATATCCCGGCGCTGCAGTTGAAACAAATGGAAAAGTATCCTCTCACTTGTTCACCTTGCAGTATAAATGGGTACACCAAAATTAGTCGATTAACAGGTCGTGTGCGGTGGGGTAAAGTGTGGGTACTCCCCGCCTATTCCAAGATTTGTAGAAGAGTAGGCGACAGTACCGCAAAGAGTGGCAATTCAATTGCAGGGCTGCACCTTTATCTTTTACCGAGTGTGAATCACGCACACGACTCTTAAGATGTGTGCATCAGTAGAATGTCGTTTTTCAATTAGAGGGCACTTAGCAAGCACCGTATTGTCACATCATAATTCGTAAGTGTATATAATCAATATTAATCTGCTCCATATATTCTATTTTTACTTTAATGGGGCACTATTTAGTTTGGTCTGTGCTAGGTCTATGGGTACATCGCTACCACCAATGTGAATCCTTACGAAACATGCATCCCGAATCGATCCTCCCGTAATGCCGCGTGACGTCACTAAACTATGTGTATAATTCCTACGGCCTTGTTTTAAACCACCAACTTAAAATAGCCAATATTATGACCATGTAAATCAAATTTTGTGCATATTATTGCTCTCATTTGTTTTCAGCCTCCGCGCAGTCTTCTGTCTGGAAAATTTCTCATCATTTACAGAAAGCATTGGAATAGTTTTTTTTGCATGAATCCTGCTGTATGCCCCGTTAGGAGACAGTGCAGCCAGACTGTACGAAGTCATCTCCACAGGGCTTATGACCCGTGGCGGCACTTTGATTCATAAAAAAACTGGTTGTTCATAAAATATCAGCTCCAGCTCAAGATCATATTAAAATTATTTTAATTGTAAACAATCGACTAACCTTAATTGTTTCAAACAACTGTGATATCATTAAGTAATATAGCCTGCCCAGCATCTGATATTCGTAGTCACGTGTCTCACCCAAATATAATTTGTGCTATGGCCTTGCAATACCACTGACAACAACAACGTTTTACACAGTAACCCCCCCTGTGAGGCTCACGTTGAAATCTCGCTGTGAACTATTTTATTTAACATCCCGTGTGTCTCTCCCGCCTCTGCGCGTGTGTGCACAGGAGCTGGAGTTCCAACGGACGCACGCCTCGGCCATCGGCGATCGCTTCATCTCCGTCATGAGTGACTTCATCACTGTGGCAAGCTTCAGCTTCTCCGAGCTGGAGGATCTGCTGACTGAGGCCAGGGAGAAGGCAAGATCAGCGCAGACTCTGACATTGCCTTTCCTTCTTCCCATTTCCCTGACTCACATTGTCATACTCTTAGGTTTTTTCGGTAAAGTCACGTAGGTAAAAACTAATAATAAAAATAATAATAGAAATAAAATAATAAATCTCGACGTTTCGGAGGCAACACAAGTCTCCGTCATCAGGTGGGACCGTCACAGCCAAATTTACTGTATCACCTGATGACGGAGACCTGTGTTGCCTCCGAAACGTCGTGATGTATAAATTTATTTATATAAGAATTTCTATTATTTTTATTATTTATTTTTATCTACGTGACTTTACCGAAAAAACCTAAGAGTATGAATCCTTGCAGTCACGAAAGCTTCAAATCTAGAATCACATTGTCATCCGTATTTCACCACTATTGACGATGATCTATCCACCACTGGGTGAAGGTCCTCCCAAAATCGTCACATACATCCCTGCTCTGATCTACCAATGACCTCGAATATATTCACTGAGAAATGAAGCCCTCCATCTACTAATTTAAATAAAGAAGGATGAATAATGTGGTTGATGGGTCGTTCATGATCATCATCATCCATGACCAATGCACTGCTGGATGAAGGCCTCCCCAAGTCATCGCCATTTCCACCATCTCACAATCAAACAATCCACCTAGCTCCTGCACACGAGCCGATTTCATCGCCCCGTCTCCACAATGGACATCCTCTTGTGCCTCATCTTTGGCTGCCAATCTGTTGTTAGTCTCGACCTCTGACCATCATCCCTTCCAGCAACGGGTCCACTTCTTTTCTTCACGGTTAATATGTTGTCTCTAACATTTTCTAATCAGTGTATTATTCTTCCTTTCTCTCAGTGTAATTCCAAGCATGCGCATCTTCATGCATCTTTGTCATTAGCTCCTTCATCTTCATCATCTCCAACTCCTAGACCTCCCTACTTCCTCGTGATGACAGCCACATTCCTTTCTCACACTCTTACCATCTTCCCAGGCTACAGAGGGTTAATGATTTTGCTCGGGAGGCAAATGTATCTTGTTTTAAGTCATTTTTCTTTAAGTCTTTTTTATTCTCAATTTTGGATATTGCTATTTTCCCGGCAGCAGCTAATATTTGTTGCCACATCAGATTTATGATACATTTAGACATTCATGGATATACTTGGTGAGATGAAATTTCTATACAGTAACTTTTTTTAGAATGTATTTACTGTCTTGGTTTTCAAGGAACTAAAAAATGCGGCTCGTAAAAGAAGGAACGTGGCCAAGCAAATAGTGAAAGAAAAAGATTAAATATAGCACGGATTAGCAAATGGGCCCGACTTCAGCAGCCAACAGCTGCAAAATCTAAAAACAAATCCTAACAGGGAAGACAGCGAGCGCTCTTCACCGGACACGGGAAACACAACATCACCCCCTCCTACTACCAATGTTGGCCTTTTCACGCCGTGCACCAGCCGGGCAGCGTCCCGTGCACTCCCGGTCACTCTGCGGCTCAGCAGAAACCGCTTGCCAAAAAGCCCGTGTCTGGATGTAGCATAAAAATGTATGTGTTTTTTATGATGGTAATATATATAATTAATTTGATTATTACGATGCAATGTGCTGGGGTTTAGATGCACGACTGTTGTTGTTTTCATTTTTTTCTCCTTGGGATGTGGCCATCGCAGGTAGGTGAGCATTTAATAGCCTTCCCTTTTGTTGTCAGTTTATGACTTCCCAATGCCTGCCAAAGGCCTTCCCAAATGTCTTTATTTCCTTACGTTTCATTCACTGCTTCTGTCCATTCGTGGCTTCCGAATTCATTGATTTCATCTCGAGATCTCTTTCGCTGACTTTCTCTGCTTCTATTGCTGCTTGTCAGTATCCACTCTGGAGTTAATTTTGCCCATCGCTTGCAAGACTGCGTAATCATTTGTGATTCGGCATTCCCAGGGTTACGTTTTACAGTGTGATTGAATGACTAGGGGCTAGATTTGGGGATTTCCTAAATTGCTTGTCCGCTTGCATACAAAAATGTGGGTTTATTTTCGTCCTTAATTACGTGTTGTGGATATTTTATCGTGATAAAATACTTTTACAGCAATAAAATGCGAGAAGACACTTTTAAAACTGCTTTCGGTGAAACATTCTCAAGAGCCACAGCCACACACTTGTACTGCAACTTGGAGTGCATTTGGGCAGTGATGTGGCCCAGTGGTAGAGCGTTCGCCACGTGTTGCAGAGGTTTGCGGTTTAAATATAGCAGCCATCCTGAGTATTACCGTAATGATAAAATATGCACTGTTTCCTTCACAGTGGACGTTTCAGATCCCATGATAATATTCGCCAGAGTAGGCCATTGTGTGGGTATCAGGGTCCAACATTTGCCAAAATGAGAAAATTACTCGCAAATTACTCCATTGAGATTACAGATAGCAATTATCTCCCACCTACCAGCAGACGAATGCTCCAGGTCACTCTTGAAAATGGTCACACTAATGCCCCAGACCATCCTGGTCTCATGCATTATCATGACATAATTGCATTATCATGGGACAATGCAAGTATTAACCAACGTTAAAAAATATTCGTACAGTGTTTGGGTTTTGGCTGCATGTAAACTTCCCAAAGCCCCTTTACTTAATGGGTCACATGGGTTGGTCAGTGAGTAATTGTTCTTGTTTAGGCTGTGAGTTAAAGTTAGCTGCTTGGTTCTGTCTTCAGTTGGCACATAGGGTGGCATGTGAGTACATTGTTCTTGTCGTGTGGGTAAATGTAAAGGTGCAGTTCTGAAATAGCTCAGCTTGCGCCACTGCTGGCAGAAGCACCTCGACCAGAGAAAAGCTCTGTAGAGCCTCAATGGAAGAGTCTTTCGGGCTGTGAGTTAGAGTCCATTTTCCCGGTTCTGTCTTCAGTTCAACAAGTCGGTGTCACACTTTGGAGAGGAGGGAGGGCGCACGCAGCCCGAGGAGTTCTTCGGAACGTTCGACGCGTTCCTGTCGGCGTTTGGCGACTCCCGACTGGAGCTGGAGGCCATGCGGCGTCGCAAGGAGGAGGAGGAGCGGCGCGCGCGGGTGGAGGCGCAGGTAGCTTCGTGCCACACACACCGTGCACCGTCAGATACACGCCTCTCACTCGCTCACAAATATCGCCCGTATAGCCTTAACAGATTCGTGGCGAAAGTTCTGATAGGGAGCACCCGTTTAAGATGGTACGTTGCGTAATGGGGTATTGTGGCCAAAAACACACACGTACTGCACCAGGTACATATTTAAGGTTAAGTTGATCTAGTAGAGGCCCACGACCGGTTCGGATAATCGCCATTGATGTTAGCCATCGCTGGGACTTGTATTCAAGCTGCCGGGTTTGTAGTGCAGTGTGCTCCCACACTTTAACTCAAACAAACAAAGACATATACACACACAACACACACGTATTCATGGAAATGTATTGTGCATGGACAGCATTAATGGGGTTTGGAAGGTAATGAACGTTATGATCCATATATATTTTTAAAGGTAAAGGTTCAGTCCTGCAATTGTTTGCAACATGCTCACTGCTGGCAGAAGAGCCTTCACTGGAGGGGTCTGTAGAGGACGTTTTGACCTCTTCTGCAATGGTAGCCAGATGCCCTGGAAGGGGTGGGAGTGTGTTCGTTTTTACCACACCACATGTGACTTGCTGATTGATTAACTTCAGTATACCCATGTATACTGTTGGATAGATAAGAAATCAAGTAATTTAATTAAAACTATTGGCACTCTGAAGACTTCCCGACAGGCCATTGTCCACAGGGCTCACCCGCGCGTGCGTGCGTTCGCTTGCAGCTGAAGGAGCAGCGTGAGCGGGAGCGGAGAGCCAAGAAAGCGCGGCAGGGCTCAACTGAGGAGGGCGGCGAGTTCGACGACCTGGTGTCGGCATTGCGCTCCGGCGAGGTCTTCGACAAGGACCTCTCCAAGCTGAAGCGCAACCGCAAGCGCTCGGGGAACATCCTTCTGGATGCAAGCAGGGAGAGGCCTTTGGCCAAGCTCAGCTAAAGCTTGCTGCTAAGCTGAGTGAGGCGGTGAATGTTATGGGTGGGATGAGCAAACAAAGGAAGCCTGCTGGCTTTAGCAGATTGACAAGGTGGGGCATGAGTGAACTGGAGGTTGAAGAGTGGATAAATAACTTTTCGATGTAAAGAATGAACCTGCAAGTCTGCCCAAGGCTGGCCTTTGAAATGATTGCAAGAGAATCCCTGGAAACAGCAGCCAGGGATGATTTTTGAAATGAGAACTGAAGATGAAGCTGCAGGAAGGAATGGCCCAATTGCTGTCTAATGTAATCACCACCCTTTACCAATTCCTCTCACCCACCCTTCCAACTTAAGGTGATGGGTGGTTGGATGCTGGACATATATGACCATGCTGCAGAAAAAGATCTTCAAAAAGGACACTTGAAAATTGATGGGAGGATATTGGCCGGCAGTATTTGCAACACAAACAATGAGCACAAAGATACTGTTGTACATCACTGCCTTTCAACGACACCCCGCTAACGCAAGTCTCATTGTATGCATGAGCTCAGCCAAGACATTTCGCCAAATCCAATAGCCATTTGTGTAGCTTTGTACGTAAAGAAACCAGCGCCACGGTCTTCATCTGATAAGAGACTTGATTTGTTTAAACTGGGCAAGTACGACGACTCCCGAAACAACAAAAGCAAGATGCGATTTGCACGCATAAATAAATAAAGTACAATAGAACGTTCCTCAAGTTTGTGGGCAAAATTCAAGCTTCATTTCCACAAGGTTGCCAGCACGTCAGTCTGCATCAGGAAGGTTGCTCTTCACTGGTCCCACCGTCGACCACAGGACACTGTTAGCATTAATTAATTTTGGAAGCAAATTGACCCTCACTGTAAGGAGTCAAGTGTTTTCATTTAAGTCATCGCCACTTTATTACATTTTACACCAAAGAACTTTTGAAAGGATCAGTGTATTGGAAGTAAGCGTACAGTAGTTGAATTGACAATGTTATGTTCTCTATGAAAAATAATATTTATCTGCTAAAAGTATTTTAAGAGCTAAAGCATTAGAAGGATAACACTTTATTTAAAAAAGTGTGAAAGCCATGAAGAGAAGCCTTTGCACAAGGCCTCAACAAAGCTGTTGGTTAACTCCATTTCACATGGGGCGCATGCTTTTTTGTCTGTTACATTTCCATGAATGAGCAGGTGCATCCAGAGGTAATTGCTATTTCTCAATCAAAAAAGGTGGCATAGGTGGTGTGTAAACATTTTCATTCGATAACAAGATATTCACAAACATGTATATGTGCTATGACAAGGGCTAGAATGTGCATACCTCCAGCATTGAATGGAGTATTTGTTGACAGCAATTCTATAAGATTTACATAGTTTTTCTCCTGGTGCACAGGAGATTATATTTAAAATTTCAAACCCGGATTGCAAATGGACTTTGGTGTTGTGGAACCGATGCCACAACAAGTGGGTCAAGAATAGCCTATTTAGGTGTATGTGCCATGTCTGCTTTCTTGGGGAAAAATACATCTGACATAAAACAATAAAAGGCATCACTTGGCTTGAGGAATATGCTCAAGACAGTCTTGGATGCAAGGCTGGGATCCAAGACACCGAGGTCGAGCCCGAAAGCCACAAGGCCGAGGTCAAGGCCAGGAGCCTTTTAGGTTGAGGCTGGTATCAAGGCCAGATCCTCTTGGCGGATGCCAGTGTCAAGACAAGTCCTGGGACCGAGGCCACACCACCGAGGCCAAGGTCACTTCACTCGTTTGGGCTGCACAGCAACATTGCTCCACCGCTCACTCATCTCGCATCTCAGGATTTGAGAAGCCTGGAAATCTGTTTCGAGAGTGATAATAAATACTGTCAAATTAATGTTCTAAAGGTACTGGATTTACCTGAGCTAAAGTGCACTCTTAAGAAGGTTTTTTTTCTTTAAAGTTTGTATGTAAAGTGCGTGAATCTCAATTTATTTTAAATTTTTGTATAATCAGTGCATTTAGAACACACATTGAAATAGTTTTTATTTTTTCAACATAATTTGTATGTTTGAGTGTATATTTTTCTGCAGCGATGTCAACATTCTCGATACAAAGATGTTTTCCTTAAGCATTGTAGTGGATAGTGGTAGTTGGTGAGCGTGGACTAGCCTAATGGTGCCTTTTGTGTCACTGTGTATACACATAGCCAAACGCACGCACGCACTGCACGCACGCACAACGGAGAATTAAGGAATAGTAAGTGCCTGTCTTCGTTTAACGACCACCAAATTTACAATTATTGATTGCAACACAACTTAGCAGGAGGCAAAAAAATACCATGGTTGCAACAAACATTTGGAAAATGACAGCATCTGAAATATACATTGGCAAACGGTGAACAAAAACACAACGTTAAATTTATGATGTTCATAACTCACGTAAATAATGGTCTTAATGGAAATGGCACAAGGAATGCTTCGAGGCGTGCCCTTATCTCCGCCGAAAGGGTGCTTTGACTTCCTGAAAGCTCGCGCATGTGTTCCTATTTTCATTTCATTAAGGGCAGTGACATATGCCGCAGAGGAAGAACGTGATTGAATTTTGCGTTAACTCCGTGTCGAGCTGGCTCGGCCGACAGAATGCGAGCATGTGGAGAATGATAACGATCTCTGTCCAATATCTTGTATTCATCTTTCCAACCACAGCACTTACAACACGGAGCCATATGCGTGTTGTGTGCTTAGCACGCTTTTTCATGTTGGATCAAGAAGATGCTTCTTTGCCAAATAGTAATTCAGCATTTTCACTCGCAGTGAAAGCTATGGCCAGTTATTTTCAGTTTTAAGGTTGAAAATAATGCCTTCAAATCAATTATATATATGTCATAACTACGAAATTCTTCAAATAAGTATATTTTTTATGATATTCGGAGCATTGCATGAAACAAGAGTGCAGACAACTCACATTTGCCAAAATGTGAAAGGCAGATGGACGTGTGAATTATTAAATTATATCCTTAATTTAGAAATGTTACTTAAATGCCGAGTTATGACAAGCTGTTAAAAATTGTGTTCATTATTGCATACTCGTTGGAAAGGTAACAATTCGACTCAATATTAAATGGATAAAATGTATTAACATAACTTGAAAATTCATTAGAAGATTCATAGTACTCGAAGACACGTTCAGTCGACAAGTTTCGTCTTTGTGCATTTTTTTATACAGTATTGTTTTAATCAGTATTTTAAAAAAATATGTGTCGAATGAATTTCAACTTGTCTTCACGCTCAAATGGAGATACGCCATTTTGTTGACTGGCTGTCGTTAAATAAGAACAGTATTACAATAATTACATACACACGTAATCCTAATTGTGCACATATATGTAATGTATAACAAACATAATATCGTGACATTTCAAAGTCAGAAAGAAGTGTAACTTTGACAGGCTCGTGTCAGGCCTGGTGGATTTTTTTGTCACTAATAGCAAACGCTTCTTATTGCATCCAAAGATAATAAAAAATACATTTAAACCATACGTGAGGTCTAAACATTCAAACATAATTTCAGATCTCATAGGGATCGCATTTCTCATGGATTATATTTCAGCCCCCCCCCCCCCGAAAATCCCTGACTCCTGACAGTCACTAAGGGGGGTGTGGTGGACACCTCAAGCTAAATCAATCCCTGGACCTCATGATAACTTAAACTCACAGTTCACACATTATCTTTGTTAAAATGTCATCTTTTTTTGGTGCTGACTGGAGAAATCACATCACTTGGGCTTATTACAAAGTGCAAAGTCAAGATTTGGCTTTGTGCACTGCATTCATGCATAAAGCAAAATGATCGCAGTGCGTTGGTATTGTTGATCCTGGGACACTTTGGTGGTAAAATTCACTCTTTTCATCGTTGACGTTGATCTGTGCATGTGGCAATGTTTTCCCCCCACTGTGTTGACAGACTGTCATCTGCAGTGGCTCGGTCTACAGTGCACCACTTTGCAGTGCCAAGCCACCTTGAGTAAACACAGGCCTGAATGGTGCTTTGTTCATGCACAAGTTGAGCTTTCGGATTATCCAGCACTTCAGGACACTCTCCCTTTCTTGCATAATGTTGTCATCTGACGTTGGGTAAATGTTGCTCAGCTGAGTGATCGTCGTAAAATTAGACCTTTTAACATTGGATACTGCAAGCTTCGGATAGTCCTGAGTTTTGGATAATCCTTGTTCTTATACAGTTCATGTGTACAGAGGACAACCCCACTCCTGGCATTGAGAAGAATGACTGCGGCGCTGGTGTTGGGCTGTCGTATTTCTACTTAATGTATGAAAATCCTCAAACCATGTGTTGTCCACGTTTTAGGCTCAGAGGCGCGTAAAAGGGGCTCAAACTTGTCATAATAAGACCAAACTGCTGCAAGTAATGGATGCATCTATAAGCACACATTGTGAATAGCTTTGCGTTTTATCAGACACATTTGCATGACACTTTGGACGTTAAAATTAATATGCTTGTTATTAAAGTGTTGTAGTCTACACAGAACAAAAACAGTGGCTTCCAGCCAGACTGGCTTTCGTGAAAGTCTGGTTTGAACAAAAATGTTCGTAGCATTTTACCTTTGGTTAAAAAGGTTATTTAAATGTTACGCTTTTGACTTAAAATGATATATAAACTGCCTTGCTCTGTATTTTACAAGTTTATTATCTAGCAAATTTAGATTTTCGTATTTGATCGCCTTTGTAAATATCACACTGTTATTTAACGCACTTAAGGCACAGAAGCCTAAACTCCCGTCAGCTTAATAAAGCCCTTGTACACAATTCAACTGTGGCTGCCTGTCACATTTTTGTCCGAGCATTCACAACGACTGCTCATGATCGACAGTGACGTCGAGCAGCCACTCAACCATCGCGAGGCTCTCACCACAAACAATGCCACGGAAAACGACCTTGCGCTCTATCCAATCGTGCGTTTCATGCCTTCATTTACCCAACAATTTTCACGGCTACGTTTTGCTAACTTAATACAAAGCGCGTATAAACATAGTCCCACTAGGGCTCCATTTTTTGGTCCACATGTGGAGCAAAACCGAGCCAGCTAGGACTGTACAGCGCGCGCACTGCAGGTGTGTCCAATATAGTTAATGTGAATGGTATGAAGAGCCATCAATCATTGCATTAACTGCATAGGAGGCACCCAATGTGGCCTCTTTGGTGAACCCACGCTGGGTCATTTTTGTGCCACGTGCAAATTGAAAACTGACCCCCCCCCACCCCTTACCATGAGTCGACTGCACTGGAATCCTTCCGAGTACAGTATTACCCTTTCACGAAGCATGCAGCTCCATACCTGCACAGCAGTGCCTGTCTGTAAGTGAGATGAGGGCATTTTAGTTGATATCGAAAACCAGAAGACCATTGTTGACAGGTCTGATAAAAAAAAATCTGCCAAAATTTAAAGAATTCACTGTACGGCCCAGGCAAAGCCCCCCCACCCCCTGTTGATGACCTTCAAGTCAATAAAATTCAACATAGCTACGAGGAGATATGTTGTTTTCTAATGAAAGCCGCTAATGACTTTGCACAGTGATAGTATTAATCAGGGCTGTTGCCGTGGTGTAATGGTTAGCACAGTCGACTTGCAATCGGTGCCATTCATCTGGCGCGGGCAGTGGAAACGATGGTGCGAGTCACTTAAATAGCCCCACCTCTGTCCACCGAGAAGTATAAATGGGCACACCACAGTTGATCAGCACTTCCCACCTCTTTCAAGGCTGACTGGCGTGGAAGTGTACCCCCAAGAAAATACTCTCCAAAGGAGCTCTCTAGAAATCCGTCGAGTGAAGGCCCTTCTGCAATCAGTCGTATGAGCAAGCAAACACAAGGCTTAAGCAAGCACCTATTTGCATTTTCACTTTAAATCAAAAATTCAACCATTGGAACCTCATTTGCCAGTAGAAAATATGATCATTGGTTTTTTACCCTTCTATCTGGCAACAAAACTGACACCTTTTTTTTACAAGGAGTCATGTTTGCATATACCACAATACGTGCGCCTTTTGGCATCATCTGGTCCAACCCATGTGAGACTAGGCTCTAAGGAAAGCTGTCTCGGGTGTGGACAAATCAACTTCAAGGACAGTGCATATATTATAAGAGTTGTGTTTTTTGTTTGCATTATGGCTGCAGGTATTTTGGTCTATGCAAATATGACTCCTTATAAAAAAAGGTGTCAGTTATGTTGCCAGATAGAAGGGTAAAAAAACTATTATCAAAAATTCAAGTTTACATCAAATGGATATGCTTATCCTGCATTGAGCATTTGGACAAATCATTATGACAACACAAACTAAGCATTGCCATTGTTGTTTAGAGCACAAAAAATAAGCAGACACAATATACCCTGGTTTGCTGTTGAACTAGGACGCATGTCTTAGGAGGGGGTCCTTGGCTTTGGCATCTGGCATTCAAGCAGGCCTGACTATTGGTGATACACTGTCAATGCTGCTGAAACTGCGTACTCCCAGAAGGCCTTGTGGTTTGCGGGAAGTGTATGAAATACCTTTATTCATGTGGAGGGACAGATATATGAAGGAGATATATAGTCCCGTTATTCATTATGACATAAATCACTCAGTTCGGGATTGTGAAAGACCCGCAATGCACATGCTCTTCAATGAGCACGTTATAATCTCTTGATGTGTGAATGTAATTCGAGGTCGTGCATTTTACTGGCATGTTGCCCTGCAACAGTGAGCCATCTCACTATTCTGATGCAGCAGCTGACGTGGTTATTACAAAACGTATTCGGAGCTTGTTAAAGCAGTGCAGACTTGGCACCGAAATCTTTCGCCAAATGTTACCATTTGCAGGTGTTGCATAATGGTTGAGGAATTTACCAACAAAGGAAACGACTTGATGTGCATTGCTTAACCGGAATGCCCATCCAGGCAGTAATCTACGAATGTAGATCATATCTCCAAAACACTATTACAAAAATCATCATCAATCACCATCGCCATCAGCATCATGCCCGTTGTCTGCTTGGTAATTCGAATTCCTTTCTTGTTTGAATCTTCCACGTGTTTATATTTCATTTATTTGCCCCGAGCGTCAGTGATGTAAATATTTGAACAGACGGCGTGTGCGGGGTACAGTACATGAATGAGACTATTCACAGGCAGAGCTTTATTTGGCAATACCTTGGTCAATCTTGGCAGCTGTGCTTCAAAGTTCAACTTTAGGACAAGCGCAAATGCTCGTGTAGTTAAAATTGAGATGGAGTGCCCTGGAATGTCACTCCTGACCTTTAGCGGAGTCTGAACACCCTTCCAGGTTTTTCCAAATTAACCGTTGGCTAACAATATTTTCAGTGTTTATGACCCAGGATTTAGAACTTGTGTGGCATGAAACTGTCCTGGATAGGGCTGAGTCATCAATGTTGACTCACGGAGCTATGAAAAATGGAGCACAACAAATGTGTGATGAATAATCACTTAATTAAGAGAAAATTAGTCCTCAATGTTTCTTTAAGCTGATTATGTGAAACTGGTGCTTAAATAACAGTCTGAAAAGTGTGTGTATATATGCAGTTTATAACTTCAACAAAAGTGTTGGGCCATAATTTTGTGCAAACTAATCTCCAGCAATCTTCAAGTATTCTAGCGTTTTAATTCATGAATACAGTTGGGGCCCCGCCTGATGCTGCCAATAAATTCTGACAGATTAAGTGAAACATAATTGGGTAATTGTGTGTACATTCATTCATCCTCACTCCTAAACATATACAAGATATCTTAATTTCATAAGTGGCTTCCAGGAATTTTTCTCACCTGCCTTGGAATTGCATTATTGCACTACTGTATTTGTGTCCACCATTGTGAAGCACATGTCTTGAACTGGTAACAGATAAGCATGCGCAAATCATTATCAAATCTGTCCCCGAGTAATTAAATACAATGCAGTGCTATTGTGTGAGTCAAATGGAAGGCAAATCCAGTCTGAACCAGATTTCAGCAAAGACAAAGATAGGCCAGATACGCTGTTGATGTTGTATTTCTTACACGAGGATGGCTTGAGCCCGACTGCGTTTGTCCTGTGTTCATGCTCGACGATGAGCCTTGAGAGCGAGCATGCCACAAAAAACGTCTTGTGCGTGAGTGCCGTGATCTTATTTTTGTCTCATTAATCATCAGTGCTCTCAGTTTACAGCGAAGGTCATCTGACTGATGGTAAGCGCGTCCCTTCTGCTTTGCAGATATGGGTTGGTGCTTGTGATTGTTTTCTCATGTTCTGGATACAAATTATAAAATATATCGACTATATTTAAGAGATCGCACAATACTGGCAATGACTATATTTTTCTACATTATCTTAAGATGTTCATGATTGGCAGCTAGCGTGCAAGAGCGAGGTGGATATTACACTGCAGGATCTCGAGAAATGCTGGCAGCTTCATCCAGTAGTGGATAGATTATAGCTGCTGCTGCTGATGATGATGATCAACGATCTGAATTCGTTGCTGTGCTTACCACATTAGTAAATATTACGGTGAGAAAATTTCAAAATTAGCGAAAAATGTTCAAACTGCAAGACAGGTGCAAGCACAAATGAAAGTTTTGTTATGAAGCCATTTAGAGTTTCTCCCGGTGTGCTTTAGCGTATATGGAGGCGTATGAGGTTTCACATTATCCACAGCAATTAAGCAGAACACACATGACCTCTAGACTCCGTGGGATTGCATGACTGTGCTGCACAGCAGTAGCATGAAGACTGACCCAGCTGCCTCGACCTAATTACATCTATGCTTGCTTCAACTCCTACTACTTCTTGCCTATGGCTTGGGGGAAGCCATCTTCAATGCCTCTCCAATTTAGCCAGAGTTTACAATGGTTCATAGAGTTGTCCACAGTATGATCAGGATTTATAACTTGCACGGCACTGGGCTTTCTCTGAGTTTCCATTTGAATTGGTGGTGGCCGCATCTACCAATTGGTTCTGAGTATGCCATTGATTTCGAGGGAGGTCTAATCCAGAGGGGGTCCAGCAGTTGGGTCACTAATGAGACATTTATTGGAGGTGTCACTGTTTGTCTTCAGCTCTCGCCATAATTCTTTATAGCGTCAAACCCTGAAATGCTCAGGGCATTACTTCAATTGCAAACCTATGACCAAATTACCCTGATTGTGCTCGATCTCAGAAGTGAAGCAGAGGTGAGCTCGGTTATTTAAGAACGAAACAGGAGGACTTCTCTACAAATCTGGCTGTCGCCTGATGATGCTTGTTGTAATCACCGGCGAAACATCGTACTCGAATTGTAAGTGTTGTGGGTTTACTCTCCAATACACCGGTGTGCTGTAATAGTAACGAATTGTCATGTTTTGTTTACATGACAAACCTCACTAATTGGCGATCTAATCCAAAAATCCTGTTGTGGACGTATTTGTATTTGGGTGGGAGACTGACGACGAATATTGTAGACGTTCGCTGTAAGGTTGCCAGGAGATGGCAGTGGAAAAATGGGTAGTTTCATTTATCTGTGCAGAGTTTTGAGTGTTACATCCTGGAATGTGTGGATTCTCTGGATGCTCAACAACTCTTGGGACTTGGTTAGACTCTCCTGACCAAATACTTTGCATTCCTATTCCTGCAGTGTATTGTATCATTCACCGACTTCCCATCACCAGGCAGCTAGCAGGAATCATATTTATTTTATTCTCGAAGCTTTCCCCAACACTTTATGTACTTCATTGGGCTAAAATGCCAACTATAAGAATTAAAATATTTGTTTGATTGTCATGCAACTAAAAGTACTCTCATATGCAATATATATTGCAAAGCAGGGGTTTTT